CTAAAAAAGGCTTCATTCATTCATATTCTATCAATAATTTTATCTTATGATTCCTGACGCTCAAAAGCTTGTGCTGTATGGTACGTTGATGGACCACTCTGAGCTCAGTTTTATGACAAGTTCCAACACATTTACTCCAGAACGTATCATTTGCTCAACAAGCCTCAATGTTGCGTTCACGTGTCGCTGCTAACTACATTTACCACGGGCCTATTATTAGCCTCTGATGTGATTTGGGCAGTTGTTTTGTTCACCTTAACTTCTTATGACCGACCGGTCCATGGTAAATACAGGGTTGGTCGAGATCTGACTTTTGAGGTGGGAGAAATTTCCGTAAAAGAACGATATAATTTTGAGGTGATTCTGATGAAAATAATCATTCATACCATCACACAATCTGCTGGAAATATACTAAACTGTGGCCTGACTTGAGGTTTAAGTATTGATTGAGTTGGATAGATAGATAGATAGATAGATAGATATACTTTATTTATATGGGCTTGTTCACACTAAAGGGCACAAAAGTGTGACAAAAGGCTAAAAATTAGATTTTAATAATCAGAAGATATTTTATGTTTTTCATGTTTCCAGGCACCTCCTCTGTACATTAGAAGTTGCTAGAACATAACTGTTTTATACATTAGACAAGTTTCCTATAGCGGCCCTGTTTATTTTACCTAACGGACGTGATGATTTGACGGAATGAGCTTTGTGGAAGTTTGATAGGTATTTTCAGATGTCCACAATTGATTCAGAGATTCTATTTTTTTGCACAAAGTAGATGCAAAGTGATACTTTCATATTGTCAAGCAATTAAATGTGAAAACAGACCAGATTTTTTTTTCTCTCAAGTTTAATTTTTAGAGAAAAGAGGACCGTCCTCATCACGTCCGTTATACATTTTTCAGGGGTCATTTAATTAATTAATTATTTTATTTTTTTACGATTTCTTTTTATATCAAGTGATTCCCTTCTGTTGTGTTAACCATGTAAATCTTGTGGGATTTCATCTTCTGCTTTTTCAGACTGAGGACATTTTATTTTCTATGTAACTGGCGTCACAGTAGAATGGTCCAATCAGAGGCTAATTTGGTCGTTTAAAATGTTGCTAAACATTTTTATGTCAATCTTTCCTTTTGATTTTTTCCACACTATCTCTTCAATCTGTCTGTGTTTGAAATCTTTTTTCCAATCTATGAAAGTAATTTTAGTTTTTAAGTTATAACCTTTTAAAGTCCAGATACTTCAATTGTCACTTTACTGTGAACACTCGAAATCCCCTGTAGGGATCCATACAAACGTCAAATGAGTACATAATTCTATAAGAGTGAGATTTCCACTTTCTTCCAGTGATTTCTTCCATATTTCTCCACTTTCTTTCTAATGATGGTAAAATCATGTTTCTGGATATCAACTGAAAAGACTTCATTCTTTGCAGAGAATACATTTTACAACAACGTCTCAACTTGGCTCTAAACCCTGAGCTTTTATTGACAGAGTTTTGGCTGGCATTGGGACAATCAAACAATGACTAAAGCTGGTGCAAAATCTTTCGTTTTGCTCTGAATAAATGATCAAAATGCTGAGCGATAAGTCATTTGCTGAACCGCTGTGGCTTAAGGGGCCATGTCCTTGATTCCTGAAAGATACTGATGTGTAGTCTTTGCTATGTCTGAAGACAGTAGCAGCAGCAGCAGCAGCAGATATGTGGCCAGGTGTTAGGAAGTGCCCCAGCTAAAATCGCACTTTGTTGTTTTTCACACATTGATTTTATTTGATGCAGTTGATGTGTGCAGTTTGGATGAAGCAAAACGTCCTTCAGGCACTTGTATTAAGTAGCTATACTGCAGTGCTATATGTAGGATTGAATCAAACGTGATGTAATTGCAGGGACCTGTAAAACTCACTGTTTGAAGAAATCTCATGTCTTCAGTTCAGTTCATTGTGTGGGGATGTGTCTATAATATATTTATTATTCTTGCGCTAAAGTCCAAAGTGTATCTCTTGTAATGCTCCCTCCAGTTTTTATTACTTCTGTGAAAAAGCCTGTGCCAGTTTCCTGTGACTTTCTCTTTCTAAACAAAACAATTGGCTTATGCACTGTACGAACCTCTGCTTACAAATATTTCTTTCCACGTTCATCACGGTAGTCACGATTCTCAATTAACTGCAGAGTCTACCATCGACCACCTCTATTGTAGAACGCACTTTAGTTTTGCGGTCTCAGGATATTCACCCAGCGTCACAATTGCTGGAATAGTTGGATGAGTTTCTTGTAAAGCCAACTCCCCAGCAGCGGGTTCGAGGTGTGGTCCGTGTGGTTCCTTTTAACTTTCTCTGCTCTGTGACTGTGGCTGCTGTGGCTGAACTCCTCTGGGCTCCACTGTATTCAGGACAATCTGCCTTTTGTCCCAGACTTGTATTTGATATCCACATTATGTAGTTCAGCGGGGCGTGTCCCTTCTGCACATGCTATAAGCCCACCTCTCGTTACTTAGAGATAACTGTGTTGTTTTGGCTGCGGTAATCGGATCATTCAAACGGGCCAAGTCCTGCATTTTTGATGGGGGAGCTAATAACCACACCTGGTGCTTAAAGGGGGTGGGCTTTAAACACAGGTGCACAGAGCAACTCTTCTTGGCTGCTCATCCCAGGGACGTTGTCATACCATTATCTATTGAATTCAAGTGTATTATAGGCCCTTACAAGGAACATTCCCTTCCTACATTATGGTTTTATAGTATTGGCGAACTAAGTAATTCAATTCACAGCCCTAAATCACAACAGTAGTTATCTCGGAGAACTTTACAAAACCACTGAATTTGCCAAAACGCATCAGAGAATCAAAAAATAAAACAGAAAACACATTGGTATTGGTGCATAAAGGGCAGATGACAAATATTTACTTGACATTTAGCTCAGACTTGTAAAAAATTAACTGTGTTCTGAAAAAATAAATACAAATTTGTTTTCAGTCCCACTTCGTACACTGTAGATAGTATTCAAGCTTAACCAGGGAGACGCACACATTCCAAATATGACTGCAATTTACGATTGTTGTTATTGATTTAGTTGACAGGGTATTCTTTCTATTCATTGATAAGTGGTTTTGATCTGGAAGGCCTGTAAATAAACACAAAAATAGCTAAAATTATGAAGCAACCCAAGAACATACTCCAAAGTTGGTTGTTTAATATATATGTTTAAACATTTTCTTTTTTATTCTGCAGTACACTTCTCTATTGGAGTCATACAATATATTCTCTGCATGCTGAAGTGTCCATGTCAAAAAAAGAAGGTCCTGGGTTCAAGTCCACGTCCATTTCGGGCCTTTCTGTGTAGAGTTTGCATGTTCTTTCTCGTGTCTGCTCCGGTTTCCTGCAGTTCAGAGGGAAAGTGTGCAGTAGTGTGTGGTTCTGACTGAGACTGCAGGACGAAAGGACGGGAAGGTGACAATCCAATGCATTTAGAGCAGCTGCTGTTCATTAATGCACTCTGTTCCATCCAAATAAATACACACATCGGAGCTTCAGGTGTCTGTTGGGCTTGCAGGTGTCACAGGAGAAGCCACACAGTCTAGACGTCTGTGTAAACAATAAAGAAACTTCTGGCAGATACAAAGAAAGAAAACGAACGTCCGAGGCTGGATCAGGGCGTCTTTATGGATTTTGGGAAAAGTCACGGAGTTGGTTCTGTGAAACAACGTTCATCGCTTTTAATAATGAAATGAATGTGAAGTGAGTGGTGCCGCAAAGCTGTGGCTATGTGTGAGACTGCAGCCGTGCGGTCGTGTGCGCTCACCTGCTGCCAAGGAAGATGGAGTTACAGACAGACTCACCGATACACGCCACACTTAGTCATTTATAATTGAATCACATGACCTTACAAGTGTGTCTCCCACTCAACACATTTTATATCCAAGCTTCATCGTTAGTGACCATTTACGCTCTCTCTATCGCATTGCTCTTGCTATTTTGTGATTCTCCCGCATGTGCTGTGTTGTCTATGGGTGACAAAGTAAGCACTAAATACACTTTATAGAGAGAATATTGTCTTTCGTCCCTTGTGCTCAAAGCCACAAAGAATGCCACAATGCAGTTTATACAACAGAAAATGTGTAGGTGTTACATTAGGACTGCATTCTATTCACATATGCCTCAGGGCCACAGTAATTGAGTAATCTATCAAGTATGGCTTTTTAATTCGCCCCAACGCGGACGAGGTTAATGCGCGTTCCTTAAACCTTAAGTCCATCCTTAAATGCATGTGGAAAATACAATATGCAAATGAGGAGCTTCTTGAAGATAATTGCAAAATGCGCACGTTGCTCTGTCTGAAATGAGTGCGACGTCACTTCTGTGCTCTACAATTTCACATCGTTATAAGTCATTATAAATCCATCCAATAATCAAGGCAGGAACTATGCAATCACAGCTTGTTGTTGAATCATTTGAATTGTTTCAGCCTTAGTGGTTAATGTGGAATCTTTGAAGTGATTTTATGTGATCTTGTGGTGATGATCCAGGACACTCAGCATTCACGGTCGTTCAAATGCCGGGCCTTTCTGAGTGGAGTTTACATGTTCTCCCCGTGCCTGCGTAGGTTTCCTCTGGGTGCTCCAGTTTTACCCTACCACTAAAAACATGTACAATAGTTCTGAATGTAATGAATGGAGGGTGTTGGTCGAGGGCTTTGATGCGGCAGTGTGTTCGGTGTCTCGCTCCCGTCATCACCGTGTGTGAATGGAAAGATATCTGGTTTCTGAATATTGTAAAGTGCTTTGGGTGACCTTGTTCTGTAAAAATGTGCTATATAAATAAACATTACTTACTTTATCTGAGCTGTGTTGGCAAATTCAATGATTTTTTAAAGTCCTCGGAGATAACTACTGTTGTGATTTAGGGCTATACAATAATACATTGAATTGAATTTTATTTTATTTCTAAGATTTTGAAGTGTGTGTGTGTGTGTGTGCAGCCTGTGGAAGTGCCTCCTGAGTGATGGCCTCACCCATGTCTGTCTACAACTCCAACTCCTTGGACTCGCACATCTCCAGCGTAAGCCTCACTTTATACCAATGCAACGTCATTTAAAATATCGTTTGGTGTTTTTGTATGTAGTGAAAAAAATGACTATACGTGACAAATTTAAAATCTACTGAGCAGAACCGCAATGACTGTGTGTGTTTGCTGGTGTGTTCTCGCAGGTGTCCAGAGACTCCCTGAAGATGGAGCCGCTCACAGACGTGTCGCTGCTTCCCGGGGAGGACGGGGTCATAGGTAAGAAACACGAGTCATTCACGAGGCTCTGAAAACGCCCACGCAGCACCTTCATATCAGACACTATCTTACCTCTTTTCCACTCCGCACCAGAGACGTGTGACTGATGCCATCTTTCCGCTCTGCTGCTGCTTGCACTTTTTTTGCAGATATAAAATGAATGACATGAGCGTTTATTCGACCTGCTGTGTGTAGATCTGCCAGTGCTAGTTTTATGTTGTATCTTCACAAACTAGTATCTATTGCTGTGTACTTTTTCTATTTGAATGAAATGGTAAAGTGTTGTGTGCTTGATGGATGCACTTTCATGTTGTATATTGTAATTTATTTCTCTGTAACCAGGGACTGCAGATAGAAACTAGTTCTCTAGTTAAAGAAGATGGTCCTTTATTAGTCCTACAGTGGGGACATATCAGATGAATACACACACACACATCAAGACATGCATCGTACAATTACTTCCGCGCTCCTTATAGGCAAAGTGGGGTAAAGTTTCTTGCCCAAGGACACAACAGCAGCAGATATCAGTGGGAGTCGGTGGAGAAGGTCTTGTGTTGGTGCAGAACATACCGGTCTCTATGAGCTTAATGTTTCTGTACACTGTCCTTTCAACAAAGATGAATTTTAAGTATATACAAAAAAACGTACTAACCCGGGATGCCCTGATCTGATCTCGTCGTCGCGATCAGGCCAATTTTTCAAAGTTTTTGACTGATCGGGGATCGGATAATCTGCCTGACGACACCCCCGATCTTTACAGCAGTTGTTGTGAAATAGCAGGTTACAGTCACGAAATCATTTAAAACTCAGTTGCAGGAAAATGTCCTCACTACCCAACACTGGGAAGAAATATTGATGCATCATTTATAAATATAGCGTGTAAAATATATTGAATTTACTTTTCTCGAATTTGAAGTTTGATAATCGGATCAGGGGCAAAACAAATGTGTGGTTGTTCATTACATCATTATGCCTCATAATTTGTAAACTGCCTGTTCCCCAAAGTTCAAATCCACCTCAAAACTCATCTGTTTAGACAATCCTATTCCCTTACACCAAAACTATCCTCTGTTCATGCGGCTTTTAACTTTATATTTTAACTTAATTTAAGTAAATAAGTAAGTAATTTTTATTAAGTAAGTAAGTAGCTCAGTAAAAAAGAGTGTGAGGAACCTGGGAGTCACTTTTGATGGAGGGATGTCCCTAGAACGACACACCAAACAGCTGACCCGAAACTGCAATTTCCACTTGCGCAACATCTCTAAGCTCAGACAAATGGTCTCGGGTCCGGAGCTGGAGATGATTGTCCACGCTTTTGTTTCCTCGCGATTGGACTACTGTAACAGCCTGCTTACATGTCTTAGTAAAAAAGACCTGGCTCGTTTACAGGTCGTCCAAAATTCTGCTGCAAGGCTTTTGACCCGCACCCACAGGAGAGCCCACATTACCCCTGTCTTAAAGGCCTTACACTGGCTCCCTGTCTCACACAGAATACATTTTAAAATTCTGGTGTTGACTTTTAGGGCCCTTCATGGTCAGGCGCCTGAATACATCCAGGGCCTGATCCACCCTTATGTCTCCAACAGGAGTCTGAGGTCCTCTACTCAGAACCTGTTGATGGTCCCCCGGACTCGTTTCAAAACCAGAGGAGACAGATCCTTCCAGGCAGTTGCTCCTCGCCTTTGGAATGAGCTTCCTCAGTCTCTGCGTATCGTAGAGACTGTTGATGATTTTAAGTCCCAACTAAAGACACATTTGTTTGGACAGGCTTTCTCGCACCATTGTTCATAGGCCTCTGTGAATGTAAATTGTGTTTTCTGTGTTTGTTTTATCTGACTTGTGTGTGTATTTTGTATTTTAATGTGTGAAGCACTTTGTGACCCTGGTCTGTGAAAGGCGCTATACAAATAAACTTTACTTACTTACTTACTTACTTACTTATTAACGTCTTTCACAGACCAGAGTCACAAAGCGCTTTGGGCAAAGACTTTTTACTTGTGATGTAAGGCAACTTTGAGTATCTAGAAAGGCAATAAATAAAAATTATTATTATTATTATTAATAAAGTATCTTGCTCTAATGATGACAAGGGTTTAGTTTCCCGCCAGTTTAATTTGCGAGACAGGGTTTTATTCCTGTACCAATGGAAAGTCTGTCACCATTATTTATAACCACCCTGGCTTTTCTCTCTTCTGCTTTCTCCTCTCACCTGTGTGGATCCATCTCTAATGAGAACCGAAAACAAATCAGTATTGTTGTTTTTGTATGTGCAGAGAAAGAAGTCATCTACATCTGTCCTTTCAACGGCCCCGTCAAAGGCAAAGTTCTCATCACCAACTACAGACTGTATTTCAGGAGCTCGGACTCTGTAAGCCTCTCTGCTTCACAACACACGCCGTAGATTCACTTTCTAAGAAACGCAATGTTCCTTTTCGGTTGTTCGAAAAGGAAGCGTATCTCCTGAGTCATCTCACAGCCCACCCTTAGCAACAGCGAAGGCCAACTCCCAAGATGATGAGTAAGATCTACAGGAATAGAAAGATACAATGGTGATGCAAGAAAATGCTTCTCACTCATTGGCAATAGTAATGCTGCCTGGAAAATACAGATGGATTGATAGACACTTTGTTATTGGTCCCCGTAGGAGAAATTCAGGCGGCCAACAGCAGAAACACATCTATACAAACAAATAAATAAATAATTTGAAAAGTTACTACAGGACAGAGGTGGAGTAGCCGCCGGGGGGAGCAGGACCGGTCACTGCAGCAGAGGTGGTGTAGCTGCTGGGTATAAAACATACTGTAAATTCCGGACTATAGGGGCGACAGTGGCTCAGTTGGTGGAGCATAGGTCTTTGCACCTAATGGTCGTGGGTTCCATTACCCCCCCGACTATTAGAGACTAATACAGGGGCAGAAAATGACAGAACATGACATTTCCTACTAAAAGCTGCAGCTTTTTTTCCCCTCACTTTGACTGCTGCAGCTTAAAGTGCAGCTTAATTATTATTATTTTTTAATAACTGCAAAAACATTTTGCCAAGTAACTGTAGACCAACAGAATTGATGAGCAGTTCACACAGTTCAAATTGAATTGTTTGATATGTCAATCAATCATTTGCTGAAATCAGCTTTAATACTTATCCCCTGTCTTTTAGGATTTGTCAGTGACACTAGACGTTCCTCTGGGCGCCATCGGTCGAGTGGAGAAAATGGGAGGAGCTTCGAGCCGAGGGGAGAACTCGTACGGCCTGGACATCACCTGCAAGGTCAGACCCTGGGAAAAAAATGATTCCAGACCTGTTTGTCAATAACAGACTATTTCTAACACCGAGGTTTATAGACTTTAAGATCTCATGTTGTGTGTTCAGGACATGAGGAATCTAAGGTTTGCGTTGAAGCAGGAGGGTCACAGCAGGAGAGACATCTTCGATTTCCTTTTCAGACTCGCCTTTCCTCTGTCACATGGTCTGGTGAGTCTCACAGGGGGATCATGTTTGGGTGGTACTGTTTTGATCCTCTAATGCAGGCACATCAACCTCAGGCTCGTGGGCCAAATCCGGACAGCAAGACCATTTTTTGTTATTATTTACTTGCAGCATTGATGGTTATGGGCGACCAAAGCATGTTATACATAATCTGTTTTCTCAGGAAAGCAAGCAAATACATTAAACAATAAAAGTTAATATAGAATGATCATTGGTTCAGTTTTTATTAAATCTAAACCATAACACATTTTGTTTTCAGAAAAATCTATAATAGTGAAACAAACTTTTAAGCGTCATGAAAAAAGTCATGTCATAATTGTTTTTTACATTATGAAGGCATTTTGACAAAATAAATGCCCTTGTATTCTTTCAGCCCCCTTATGAACACGCCCCCTTATGAGCACGTTGGTCTACAGAAGGGCATTAAAAACAAACAAATATGAAAAACATAGAGAATAAAATCACACAAGTCATTACAAATCTTAAAACATTCAAATCACACACATGGGATTAAAATAATAAATAGCCACAGTGCATTAAAAAGAGTAAATGAGTTCGACGCCCGGCTCTAACGAACGCACTGGTCTACAGTTGAAATATTTAGTTTAGTTTTGTCTAGTTACAAAACACACTTTAGCCGATAATTCTGATCTGTCAGGACAAAGACAACATACAAGTCAGAGCCGTGTTTCCCCGACAGTTTTAATCGGATTAGTGAGTTTTGGAAACGATGCAGAGATGCCGCGTTGACATGAGACGAGCGAGACATGTACAAAGAAGGCGTCGTGAATTTAATGGAAGGAAAAAACGCCAAAAAAGGAGACTCGTGCGTAGAGGCTGCTGTGAAAGACTAAAGGGGGAGGAGGTAGCTTCTGTTATCCGTGGCGTCCTCTGAAAAGTAACAAGACCGTACATGATTTTATATATATTGCACGTTTGCTATAAATGCAGCCGTACACAGAGGCCGTCTAGTGCGACAGCCGCCAGACGCCCACATCAAAGCGCTGTGAAATCAGAGCATGAATTAAGAGACCAAAATAGAAAACGCGCTCTATACATTATAAGATCGTTGTGTACATGTCGTCCAAACCAGGGTCTAACTGTAGATTTAAAGCCTATGGGAGTGGATTCTCTCACTTCTTCAATGTGTGTGGTTTTTTTGGGCCAAAGAAGGAGGATCTAGGGCAGTGTTCTTCAAGCTTTTTGAGCCCTACCAAACTGAAACAAAAATGAAAGTCTAGCCTTTACTAAAATTGCAAAGTCATTCTCAACAAAGAGTCTAATAAATACACACCAACCCAAAAAAAATTCTTCCGCAACACTAAGGTTTTGACCAATTTTGGTGATATTGGGAACAATCTCTCGGCACACTGGTAGAAAAACACTGGTTGAGGGAAAGATCCGGGACATTTATCAATTTGCTTAATGCTCCTGGTTTATCTGTTTGTCTATTTTGAGATCTGACTGATGATCACCTTTACCTCTTTGACTTATTAATCAATTAATAAATCAACTTTTATTTGTAGAAATCCAAGGCAGCACAAAGCGCCTCACAACCCACATCACATCAGGCATAAATCATTTATATATTTGAACAGTATTCATTCTGCTCAAAAGGACTGGACTGAAGCAAGAAGCATTCATGTTTTTCCAGAGAAGCTTTTCCCGTGTTTTGACGAGCTCTCTTTCATGTTTCCTCTGCAGCCTCTGTTCGCCTATGTAACGCAGGAGAAGTATGAGGAGAATGGCTGGAATGTCTACAAAGCCATGGATGAGTTGAGGCGGCAGGTACAGTCTCACGTGATCGTGTGTTTGTGGGACGGCGTCATCGTGTCTGTTTCGCTGAGGACTCTCTCTTTCGCAGGGCTTACCCAATAACAAATGGCGTATCACCTTCATCAATAAGGGCTACGAGCTGTGCGACACCTATCCCACCGTGCTGGCCGTGCCCTACAAAAGCAAAGAGGAAGACCTGCAGAGGGTGGCGGCCTTCAGGTCCAGGTCTCGGATACCGGTGAGACTGGAATCCATGTTGGTTTCACTGTCCAATGAAAACCTCAGTCAGCTGTAGCTACAGAACCGCATTTAAAATAGATTTTTAAAATATATTTTATTATTTTATTTTACATTTTTTTCAATCTTTTTTATTATTATTATCATTATTTGGTAATCTTCTCTTTGCATTATAATTGTTGCCTTGCTATGTATTTGAATTCTGACATTTTTACTAATCGAACTCTAAAGGCAAAACCAAAAATTTTTATAGAGACCTATTGCTCTTTCTGTCTAACATTTCTTGTCTCAGTCCTGTAATAGTACATCGCTCTCAGAGCAGTGTTCTGTCTTTTAAAACAACATATTGTCTATACAATTGTTTGATACTATGTTCACCACAATCACATATCTGGGTTTACAGCCGTTAATGATCAAAACAAATTCAACTCTCCCCTCTGCTGGTAGCACAGAGAGGTACAGGCAGAAATATTTTTTTTGCCCTTGGCACAATTTCCAAGTACTTTACTACAAGTACTCTGAAACACAAATGTGACTTGATTGCAGTCAGTTGTACAAAATATTATTACAAAATGAGAATGTGGCCCACGGGGAAACGCATACAATAGTCACTAGGAGGTCTTCAGTGCTAGAAATAGGTTCCCACAACTTCCACTCAAGAATTGTGAGAAAGTATACAGAGAATTTAGAGAACAGGAAGTGAGCAATAAATACCAAGTTGCCAAGAAAAAAGTACTAAATTGGTTCTCTTTTTTTTGTCTATGTTACCCACTTTCTCCAGAAAGAATCAAACCAACTGTGTGTTTCAGATTAGTGTAGTGAACTTCCCTATCACATGTATAGAAACCATACATTTGTACGGTGATCTTTGACTGCATTAGTTTGAGAGACTGTGCTGTGTATGTGTGTGTTGTAGGTTTTGTCCTGGATCCACAGAGAGAACCAGGCAGTGATCGTGCGGTGCAGTCAGCCGCTGGTCGGGATGTCCGGCAAGAGGAACAAGGACGACGAGCGCTACCTGGACATGATCCGAGAGGCCAACGAAACGCCCAAACTCACCATCTACGACGCACGGCCCAGTGTCAACGCTGTGGCCAACAAGGTCTGCGTCCGTACACGTACACATTCAGATCAATTAATTCTTGTATAGCCCTAAATAACAACAATAGATATCTCTGAGGACTTTACAAAACCTTAAAATTTGCCAGCACAGATCAGAGACTAAAACGGTTCAAATATAAGAAATACAATCATAGATAACTGATTGGTATTGGTCCATAAAGGGCAGATGACCAATGTCCATAAATGTTGTTGAATGTTGAGTGTCCTGGATCATCACCACATAGACAAATACACATGTTAATAGACATGGACACATATAGACATATAGGTATACGTAGATGTACATAGAGACATAGACACATAGACCCATAGACATAGAGATAGACATCGACACATATACGTATTGGTAGACATACACATCGACATACACGGACAATGTAACATCCGTGTATGTAATGTGCTCTCTCTCTCCTGATTCAAGGCCACTGGCGGTGGTTACGAGGGCGACGAGTACCAAAACGCAGAACTGGTCTTTCTGGACATCCAAAACATCCACGTCATGAGGGAATCTCTAAAGAAGCTCAAAGATATCGTCTATCCGAACGTGGAGGAATCTCACTGGCTCTCGAGTTTGGAGTCCACGCACTGGCTTGAACACATCAAGGTGAGAAAACTGTCCTATTCTGAGCTGTACAAACACATTCTCTTGTTATACTTTGCTCTAATGCTAAGTCTTTTGGTTGCAGCTGGTGTTGTCGGGGGCGATCCAGGTGGCAGACAAGGTGTCTTCTGGGAGCTCTGTGTTGGTGCACTGCAGTGACGGCTGGGACCGGACTGCTCAGCTCACCTCTCTGGCCATGCTGATGTTGGACAGCCACTACCGCACCCTCCGAGGGTTCGAGGTGCGTCTAATCCCACACTCAATCAAGGCTACTTTAATGACCTGCACTAGGACTGTAAACTCGCACTGCTATAGTCACTTTGAATTTCATTGTATATATTATATCTTGCACAAAAGAACCAAAAAGACTATGTTTTTCACATGTTCAGCACAGTCCCTGTTTGCACTATTCCTTCCTTTAACTGAGTGATACTATTTATGCCAAATGTGACAAGTACATTTCTCCATTGTGAGATCAATAAAGTGTCTTATCTTATCTATACAAAGTCGAGTAACAAACTTACCAATGTATGCATCTTATACATTTCTTGTCTTTAAAATGAATGTGTAGTTACTGCTACTGTGACTACTGAATGTGAAGTTATTGACTTGATGCCTCAATCAGATTCCCTTCTTTTTAGTAATTAGTGTCTGAGTTACAGTTAGAAATGGAGTGTCTTATCCAAATCATGTTCAATTTATAAGTCTGTGATTAAGCGATCCTTTATTTGTACCACAGGGGAAATTTCAGTGTTGCATCACCGGTTACAGTAGGAATGAGGAGCACACACAAAACTACTCTAGCCTAACTTCTTTTTTAAGCTGAAGTTTTGAGTTTTTGTCTGCTTTAGTATAGTCATTGTTCATTTATCTTGTAAGTAAGTATAAAATCTCATAATCAGGAAAAAAATCTAAAATCTCCCACTTTTGTCTCTGACCCTAGCATAATAAAGAAGGATAGAATCACTCAAGATTTGTGCAAAAGACAACACTGTGAAAACATGTTGAAGGCAAAAAATATATAGCCCGTGGTGGATATATAAAAGGTGGCAATTAAAGAAACAGTGGAAACGGTGCCAAACAGTGGCAATAGTAGTGCAGTAAAATAAAATCTCCCAACTGTAGCATAAAAAGAAGCAGTATAAAAACTCTATGCATGAGGGTACGGGTCAAAGTGACTGTAAGGGGACAGTGGACATACGGTGGTTCTATATTCATGGTTCTAAATTCATAAGAGCATTCTGTGTCTGTGTGTGTTTGTAGGTGCTGATTGAAAAAGAGTGGATCAGCTTCGGTCACAAGTTCGCCTCGGTACGTACAGTGAAAGTAGCATTATGTACAACTCTCTCAACATGTTAAACGCTGTACCGTCCAGGTGTGGGCTTCACTAACTTCCCGGCTGTTTGTTTGTGTGTGCAGAGGATAGGTCACGGGGACAAGAACCACGCGGACCAGGACCGATCGCCCATCTTTGTCCAATTCATAGACTGCGTGTGGCAAATGACCAAGCAGGTAACTCTTGGCGCTGCTCCTGGAGGTCGGACCTTGGATTAAAGTCACACATCATTTTAATTGCCTGTCACGGCTAAACGAGAAAGAGGTGACCTTCTGCTACTGCTGCTGCTGCTGCCAAGGCTTTCCGAACAAAGCAGTCTGTATGAAGGATATTGGGAGCTCTTTTGTGCAACAAATGGATCAGCTGATGTTTCTGTAGTTCTGTGATTGAAAAGACCAGGTAGAGTTTTAAAGATGGTTTAAAGGGCAGTGTTTTGCTGTTTATTTTTTCCATCATCAGGAAGGATTTTAAACGTATATAATTGGATCAATAATATTACTATTGCGACAACACACCATCAGTAGGGTAAATCTAACCTGTGTCGCAATGGCCAGTGGAGTTTGCATGTTCTCCCTGTGTCTGCGTAGGTTTCCTCCGTGTGCTCCTGGTTCCCCTACCACTAAAAACCATAGACTGTAAAAATTAATGGAGATAGTCACGCCTATCTCTGCCGTTCAAACTAATGAACCAAAATTAATGGGCCAAAAATAGTGCTCTACTGGAGCTATCCAAAATGGCCGCGGGTGGTCCCCTCCACAAGAAAATTGTGAAAAAACGCATCTGCGCATGCGTCAGCCGGCGCAAGCTCCATTCATTTGAACGAGAGGCTTCAAAAATTCACAGCAAGTAAACTAGAGTGGTCCAAAAAAATTCACTCCCCTCAGCATTGACACACATGTGGAACGGAGCTTTGGGCCAAGAGCCAACTTTTGGACCATCCTGTAAAGACATTTTCGAGAGGTCTGCCAATGCTATATGTTAGCATTCTTATTCCGCTAATTCTTATTCCGGGTCCACCCCCATCGGCCCGGGGTGGTATTACAGCATGTCAGCGCACGTCATTTTGGCCACTTTTGAGCCGGGACCCGCCCCCACTGCTAAAAACGCATGTTCTGTAGGTAAAATTCTCCATCTCTTGTTCTGTAATGACTACATCCGCTGATGGAGACCTTAGGATGGGTCAAAAGCCAAAAACGAATTTCCCTACATTAATAAATAAAGTGTACGATACCGTTTGGTAGGCGCAGAAGAGCAGAGTCCAGGACACTTCCTATACAGCGACCCAGTTTCCCACAAACATTTCCCTACATTATTCCCTACAATTTCTACTTTCATTTATTTGTGTTATTGGTTTTAGATGTCCTCCATCTTATATAAAGTTTCAGGGTTCCATCAAATTCCTGAAAAGCGTTGGTGCCTCAAGGGTTAAAGGCCCAGTTGATTACTGAAGTAAACAGGTGCATTTGTCTAACACAGAGTTGGGGACAATGGGGGGCATCGATCCTGCTTTATCAGATGCTGTGTTTTTGTTTTGGCAATATAAAGTAGCTTACCCTAATAATACTGCTGCCGTGTTTTTCGTTTTTTTGTGTCACTTCTGAGAAACCTTATGTCTTCTCAGTTCCCCACAGCGTTCGAGTTCAACGAGCGCCTCCTGCTGACCATCCTGGATAATCTGTACAGCTGCCGGTTCGGGACGTTCCTCTACAACTGTGAGCACGCCCGCGACCAACACGTAAGCCACAGCTAATATTCCACCAGTGCAGACCTGTCTTTATTGTAACGTTTATTGTTCAAATGTGTTTTGCAGGATGTCCGGGTCAAAACGGTCTCTCTTTGGTCCATGGTGAACAGTAAAACGGACATGTATCTAAACCCTTTCTACACGCCAGAGCCCAACATGGTGCTCTGTCCTGTTGCCAGCATGCGCCACCTAGAGCTTTGGGTGTCCTACTACATCCGCTGGAATCCACGCATAAGACAACAGGTATGGTGCAAGTAGAAAATATTATGGCCTATATAAAACATAAGGAGACATGATTATTACTTTTAAGGCTTAGAAGGGTTTTTTAATCAGACAAAAAGTGTAAAGAAGCTTGTACTGCTTACTGCAAGTCTGGGAATTAAGCAGCACTAGTTTCTTTACAGTTTTTGTATTATTAAGAGAACCTTCTAAGCCTTATATAGGCCCATATACTTTGAATATTTTTATAACAAATTCCTGTATTGTTTTTGAAATATAATATCCTATTAAAGAAGCAAGTATAAAATCTTTAGCTTTAGCATAATGAGGAAGTAAATCTAATCTCTAACACCAGCATAATGAAGGAGCAAGAATTAAGCATAAAATCTTAGCATAATAAAGCATCATTAGATCACGCAGTTCCACTTATTGTCTCTTGAAAGTCGGATACCCCAGCTTTTAAAGAGGGTAGCAGATGCATGACGTGTCTCTGGCCTCCCTCAGCAGAGTCCGGTGGAGCAGCGCTACAGGGAGCTGCTGGCCCTCCGCGACGAGTACTTGAAGAAGCTGGAGGAGCTGCAGCTGTCCGACACCAGCCCGACACCGCGAGTCACCAACAGCACCAACACGCCCTCCTCAAACTCCTCCACGCCCTCCTCGCACTGCACCCACTACCAGACGCACTTCTGAGGGCCCACACGCACACATACACACAGAAAACCCAGCAGTGGGGGGAATAGGAATGCTCTTATAGTTTTAACTTTGCGCTTTAGTTCAAAAACACTCAATTCTGGTGTTTATGCAATACGTCACAGTATAGCCTTGTCTCATGATGTTCCTTTTTACCCTCATCTGCAGCCACGCCTTAAAGACGCTGGGTGGCGATGCGTTCAAAGGGCTTTTTAAAATAAAACTCGAAACGCCTGCTGCGTCTGAAGAAACTGTACTGTAACAGGATCGAACACGTCACTAATCCGATCGGCTCTCCTCCCCTTTAACTGTCTCGTCTCGCTCTACAACGAGTCAGACGACAGCTCTTGCCACTGCTGCTGCTTTCAGGGACGCTCGGTTCAAAATCAGGGCTTTTTCTTGAATTGGAAAAGAGGGCCAGAGGTAGGGAGGGAGGTGGGGGCTGGATGGCAGGGTTATTCATACACAAACATAGAATTGCTGCTTCATCCATGTGGCCCTCACACACACACACATACACACACACACGATAAGCAACGTCTAAAGTGCGGTCATTTCAAATATCCTCCTCCTTTTTCCCCCGACATAAAACCGGACTTTCCAGATGCTCTGTTGATCAGGGCGTTTTACAAAAGTCCAAGAAAAAGGGCTGGTACCTAAACTGGGATGAGCCATTTCTATTGTCTATTTTAACAGGGTATTTTTTCGGCCAATCACAGCGTCTTGTTTAATCCAAGCCACTAGTGATGTAAAGGAAATACACACACGAGGGACATATGAATGCTGCTGCGTCCGTCTCTCTCACCTTGTCTAAGAACCTTTCCTGCTGCTTCACTTTTAAACAACAATCTTTAAGGAATACAAGGACTCTAGCTACTGTCCCAGCGTTGGAGGACGACTCGACTCCAACTATATGTAAATAGCACTTGTGTTTATATCATGTTTTAAGACAGAATTGCAAACTTGGTGATTTTGGCTCGAGTTGTGGAGTTGTCTTGGTTTTTATTCTTCGCTGTCACCTCCACCTCACCTAAGCAGTATTTTTCTAACCTTTCTAAGCTAAGCGCCAAGGATGTCCAGAGAGAGAACGAGCTCGCTGGACATCACGGCGCGTTTTTAGGTGCTCGAGGTAGTATACGTGGAAATGACATGGTGTTTGCCTCTGATCCTGCTTGTTTTTCATGTTTTGAGTTTGGATTTTTTTTTCATTTTCACTCACAACTGTCCATAACTTTAACATGCCAAGAAAACCAAACACCTACATCGACTGTTATGACATAGGAGAGTGTTTGACATGCAAGTTTCCGTTCAAATATTTTCATATTTTGTACATTGTAAAAGACAAAAAAAAAAAAAAACACTTTTCCGTTCAAATATTTTCATTTTATAACATAACTTGTATTTTGATTCAAAAGAACAGAAACGAAGACTACTCTGTTGACAATTCACAAATGCGTGGTTACAATCAGGTCGCGTTTCCAAACTTGGCAGCTTTGTCTCAAATCTTTTCAAAGGAGGTATTTGGTATGATGTAAACGGAAATGATTTAGAAGTTTGTATAATGCCTAAATCTGTGTTCTCAGAAGTCCTGTAACAAAACCTTACAGGGTTAAACAAGTGGTAAAAGGAGAGTATTTATGAATAACAAGTTCTATAATCACCAAGATACAAGCTAATACATTGTACACAACCACGCCAAACACATAATTGTTTGGTTATCTGTTAGTTCTGAGTAATATTTCAAAAGAGAAAGTAAATATCTAATAGTATAATATTGATCTTGTAAACGGCGTTCTCGGTTTGGTTGTTTTCAGGTTAACTCTGTACATTAAGTGTCTTGTTTGGTCACACACTGTGGCTTCTTTGTGAGATGGATTTCCCGTTCTCGACTGTCGTTCACTCCAGGAGCAAAGTACTGTATGGGCACTGTTGTGTGTTCACGTATCCTTACATGTGTGGAGTGTGTCAGGTCTAGATTTGTGCCTTGATTCTTTGTGAATCACACCTCCTCTTTGGAGATGACTGTGTCACCTGTCCCAAGTCATGTTTGCAGAAAAACTGGTGCCCTGTTTGGCAAAAACACAGTCCAAATAAAAGTTTGTAAGTGGATCATTAGGACCTATCCCCCTGGGCCAGAACGTTGCTGCTGCTGCGGCGACTGCGGTTTGAGGTTGATGCTCTGTATTGCTCCTCTCAGAGGAAACCAGTCTTCAGTCTGTGAACATGACTTGTACGTTTGCCTTCTTAGTGAGTCAGTAGAATGTCATTGTACCAAACCAATCCTTTAATAACCAACAGCCTGATGAAGGGTTGACCAGACGGCAGCATCAGTGTGAATGCTTGAGGCAAACATAGGTAAAAAATCTATTTTTGTTATTTTTTACTATGTACAAACAGTTGTTGTAATTACCTCAATCAAAACCTATATTACTGTCTAAAGGTCTAATGTTGTAAAATACAATTATTTTATGTAGTATAAAATTCTAAAGTTTTATAAGAAGAAAATAATGTTTGCTCAGAAAATGTGGATTTTGTTTGCTTTCTTGGTTTAATCTTCTAACATTGTTTTGAAGGGCATTTTGGGTTTTTACTCACTAACCGCTTGTGATGAGACAGAAGTCCTTTGCTTTGCCTGTCTCCGACTTCTCTGGTTTAAAAAAGAGAAGTCATCCAATTTCACTTTAGCAGAGTTGTCCAGAGAGGGGCTCTCTTCATTTGAACATGCATTATTGTAGGGAAACAAAGTTCTATAAAATACTATTTTTTTTATCAAATACAGAACTTGTGTGCCTGGGATTGTGGCATCACTAAGGGAATGTGTCCAAATTGCCCAAATGGAATGCATTTGATGTGTTTCTTTTCATATTCGTTATATTCTCCACTGTTGATGGATGGACCTTGTAAATAATACTGATTAAATTAATTTAAGAATGTGTGACTGTCTTGTTTGTGGCATTTAGATTAGTAATTTCTTTATCATTTGTAAATTGCAAATGTACAGTACAGACCAAAAGTCACCGGACCTGAACCCAATCCAGATGGTTTTGGGGTGAGCTGGATCACAGAGTGCAGGTGAAAGGGGCAACAAGTGCTGATCATCTCTGGGAACTCCTTAGACTGTTGGAAGACCATTTCAGGTTACTACCTCTTGAAGCTCATCAAGAGAATGCCAAGAGTGTGCGAAGCCGTAATCAGAGCAAAAGGTGCTACTTTGAAGAACCTGGAATATAAGACTTTTTTTTTTCATAATCATAATAAAAAAACTCTTTGAATGAGAAAGATAAGAGGCAGTATATATTTATTTTTGTAAAATCTATACAAATCAAGATGTTGGTACAAAATCTTTGTGTGTGCGATTGCGTTTCTAGGTTAGACAAAGCGTGTGAGCTTGAGGCGTGTGTGGAGTAAAGTAGGCCACAGTGACGTCTGTCCTCTGTCTGGGAGCACACACACAAAAACATCTGGTGCAGCTGATGTGTGCAGAGCACAGAGGGAGGAGCGTGTGGAGGAGAGGCTGGGGCTGGGGCTGGGGCTGGGGCTGACAGGACCGGGAACAGGAGACTATACTTACGGCTATTGCTTCTGCTGCTGGTACAATGTCTCTTCATATTTAAGCCCCACGCTGCAGACGGAAATCTGCACTCGGGCTGGGCTCCAACTCCAACATCCTCCCTCATATCAGCGGAACCGTGCTGCATCCGCCCGCTGACCTGCAGTGACCTGATCCGTGGAGATGGACAAACAGCCTGGACCCGGAGCCTCGGAAGGAGCAGGGCCGAGCAGAAAGCCCCGAGCAGCGGCCACCGGAGCAGCTACGAACGGAGACGGTCCAGACAGGTGCGTGATCCGCGCACGACATCTCTAACCTCATCATGGTTTTGTTTGTAGTTTTTACAAGTGTTGATGACAAAACAATTCTTAGCCAATACCTATGTGCTAGATACTGAGTGCATATGAATAAATTCATAAATAAAAAAGACTCATTAACTTCTTCCGGTGTATGCAAATGTGAATATGACAGCTGCTATGCTACATTAGCCATGCTAACAGTTAGCTTTAGCGAACAACTATCACACCAAAGAGTGTCTTATTAATGATTGAGTTTCTGTACCAGTAAACTAGACTATGATCTTATTGATCCTGTTAAAGCCTCACTTTCTACATAAAATCGGTTTATTAAATGAATTCTAAAGACTGATTTTAGAGTAATTATTTCACTACTTCAGCATCAGCATTGGTGCTCATGCCTGTGTCTATTTTAAGTTTATGTTTAATTTATTAGGGACAATGTGTTGTTACATTAGAAAGCTTGCTGCACTAGATTTAGCACCATGCTAGTTTCCATCTATAACTGGTATATTAACATACATTTCAAATAAAACGGGCAGGTTATTAAAATACATTTTAGTTTTGGTCTGTTTAAAGTCTACTCTGGTGTGTGAAATGTCTGTTTAAAGTATGTAATTCATCCGATGGGAAACAACAAAGGAGTATCTTATGACTCTTTGGACTTTTTGAATGAATTCACAAGACACTACTACTATCATCCATGAGCTCCAGTATTAGTTCAAGAGTAATGGAGTAAAAGTCTGGCCAGTGTTAATGTACAGTTGAGTGTAGTTTCCATGTTCACTAATGTCTACATTTCGGTGTACATTTTAGCTGTGTTCTTTCTTTTGCTTTGTCCAGTCCCACAGGCTCTCATGTGGAGTGGTGTAAGCAGCTCATCGCAGCCACTCTCTCCAGCCAGATCTCCAGCTCGGGCCCTGCAGACCCCCGAGAGAACAGGGTATGTACACGGCTCCCCACGGTGCTCCCAGTACTGCCACCATCATCTGCTCACAGCCTGTTCTCTTACCGTTAGACAGGGAGAAGAGGGGACTGGTTGGTAAGGGTGCCACGTGTGCTCTATGTCGCCACAGCTTTTTATGTTTGTCTGTGGCTGGACTTTTACAGCGCTTTAAAGAGCTGCTGGAGGGTTTTTGCGCTTACTCCAGCATTTAGTTGGATGTTGTGTAGCCTGCTCTTTTGCTGGTTTCAGAAAGAAAAAGTACTATCACAAGTAAAGCCTGGTTTATATGCTATACTCCTTAGCATATAACTCTGCATATAATGGACACGTACAAGTGTGGACAGGTTTTAGGTGAGGACCAGTCACCAGGGCTTAGACTCATAAGATTCATAACTGGCAGCAGATTTACATAACTTTCAAAATCACAAACAATTTTAACTATGTAATAAAATCTGTCTCACTCTTAAAGTTTAATGTATACTAAGGAAAGGCGCCTATAAGCTTTAACTTCTGCCTAGATTTATTCAGACCTTTTTTCCCCAAGTGCCTTAAAGTGTTTTGGAATTTCAAAAATGTCTGAAATAAATAAAACTAAAACTGAGACTAAAGCAGATTGGTTCTAATCACTATGCCTTTCACATGCATGCAGATAAACAACTGTATTTAGGAGTTGTTGGAAGTTTGCTAGCTCAGCTTTAACTGCACCACATCCCAGTTGTTTTAAAAAAATCTAATTTAAATGCTCTAAATGTTGCTGTATAGTTATGTCATAAATGATATATTCAGGAAGAACATAGTAAACAATACCAGGAGCAGTTGTTGTTTTGGGTTAAATATTATAATTCTTCATAGACGTTTGCAAACCTCCATCTCTAGAATTATCTTTGTGCTTTGGCAAATGTGAATCAATGCAGCTTGCAACAAAAGCGGCGCCCTTTTAGTTTGTGGTGAGAGACCGCAGCTCCCCCGGCTCTGCGCAGGCTTCAGCTGTGTGAGACATGTCTAACTGTGTTTAATCCAAACTTGTGTAACCCTCAGGTGTTCAAGAGGCTCCCACACAGGGTAAGGCCGTCAGGGAGCTGTCAGGTTTATGCTTTCTGTCGGTAGATTGCCCACAGTTCGGCACACTTGCTTTAAGAGTCTGAAGCTTTAGCTACAAACACGTTTCTGTGGATGTGAAACACTGACGTTGAACACTTGTGGCTCTATCCCTCTTGTCTTGTTCCTTTTTCCACGCTGGCCTCTTGTAGCAGGACTCTCTGGAGGAGGGGCTCAGTTACCATGGAGACAGTGACTCTGAGCTTCTCTCAGACGCTTCGGCAAGTCTGTGTGTGCCCCTCTGATTGTGGGCCTGTCCTGCATGTCCGTTCTCCATGCGTGGACTGTGGAGATGTACTCGTATCACTGTGTGTGCGCCTCATTGTCTCAAACATGTCATGCTTTTCACTGTACGTTTATTTCTATTACATGTTTACACCGAAATCATAGGCAATTTTATGTGTATAGCACAATTCATACACAAGGAAACTCAAAGTGCTGAACAAGACAAAATAGCATTAAATAATCACAGTACATTAAAGAGAAAGATGAAAAGATAAAATCCCTCAGTTGTATGCACAGCTGAACAGAACTGTTTTTAACCTGGTTTTAAACATTGTCAGAGAGGAGGCCTGTCTCACATCTTCAGGAAGATTATTCCAGATTTTAGCTCCATGAGTCTGAAATGTAGCCTCCCCATGTTTAGTTCTGACTCTGGGCACTAGCAGAAGTCCAGTCCCTGTGCTCCTCAGAGTACGGGCTGGTTCATATGGGACTAAAAAGACAAATTTTCACTCGATGAGTTTTAAGAATCCAGAGCAGCTATCAGTATGCGCTGCTGTTATGTCAAGATCATAATCACAATCACAATTGCTATTGTGAGTAACAGGAAGTCACAAACTAGGAAATAAAAATAAACACAAAAAAAATCAACATTTCTTAAAATGACTTCTACAGTATATACAGTATATACAGTATAAGAATAGACATTCAGCAATGCGGTAAAGTGACAATCATGAAGAGCAGGGGACAAAGTGGAAGATCAAGATTATGTGGAAATCATTTAGATATTTCTTTTTAGGAAAATAAGACGAGCTTTCACACCCCTGCTTATCAAAAACCCAATGACATGCAAGACTTTTGTTCCACGCGCTGCAGTTACGTGTTGGAACAGAGTCTCATTCATACAAAGTAAATGTTCCACAAACAAACTACGAGTCTATGCTCTGACCCCATCATTGATGGTAGATACAACACAAAACAACACAACAATTACTGTCTCTGCGCAAAAGAATCAAGAAAGAAATGGGCAAGATTAGCCTGGCCTTAGCCGAAATGTCATTTGTACTATGGTGTGGTACGACCAGGCTAGGACAAGATACCTTTGGGAACTATTTTTATGTATCGATATATTCAACTAGAAAGTATATATTTGTCGATACTACTAAAACTTAGTATTCTAGTTTTTATGTTGTATTAGTTGAAGGTTCTGATGAGTTTAATGTTCTTTTATCTCTTTACACTTTCTTCGAATCGCCAAACCATAAAATATGCATAGAAGAGGAAGACTTTATGCACAGAAGACATTCGTTTTCTCTAAATAAGTCCACATGGTGTTTGTGACGATGTGAATTATTAAGATGAAAGATAATTTGTTCGTCCCACAGTGGGGAAATTTCAGTGTTGCATCACCAGTTACAGAACAGTAGGACTGAAGAGCACACAGCACAAGATACATGAACAATCCCTTTATACTAAAAGAAATAAAATAAAAATCTCTTACTGTAGCATGAAGACGAAACCAAGTACGAAGTACCAAAAAAACTAGCATAATAGAGAAGTATAAAATCTCTACCTTTTTGGCATAATAAGAAATAGTTAAGTACAGTGTAATATATATTTGTATGTTTACATCTGTATACGTTAGCAGCATGAGGGTATGGGACAAAGTGACAGTGGGCACATGTGGTTCTATATTGCACACTGACATGATTATTGCACAGACGAGTAAGCAAAGTGTATATATATATTACATGATTATATATTATTCAAAGTGCACACAGAGCCGCATGCACACGACTGAAGACGGCTGATTGCAACGACCGTGTCACGTTTGTGCCGTAGCATCATGTCTGCTCCATAACTCGAATCCCGCCAAAAAGCCTCTGCACATACATTCATAGTGTGTTGTCTCCGCACTAACATCTGAACCCTGTGTCCGGTACAGAATATCCCCACGTTGAGGTACGGCGCTCAAGTCAAGATGTCCCAAAACCAGGTCCCCCTTCTCCCCGGAGAGAACAGCCACGTCACAGGTGCGTGTGGAACCTAATATGATTTTATCCTTTTTATACTTATTTTCTAATGCACTGTGGCTATTTTATGATTTCAATCCCATGTGTGATTTTAATGTTTTAAGGTTTTTAGTGACTTGTTTTTGATGTTTCTTGAGATCTTTTGCCGTGTTTCTACTGCCCTGTGGGATTTTAATTGTATTTTGTAATGTAGATTTCAATGTTAAGGATTTATGCTTGATGTGATATTGGTTGTGAGGTGCTTTTTGTGGCCTTGTGTAGGAAAGGCGCTCCGCAAATAAAAGTTAATTTATTGATTGATTTAATAATATGATCAAAAGTTTATAAGACGATTGTTCTCTTCCCTCCAGTCAAAGATGTGATGTACATTTGTCCGTTCAGCGGTCTCGTGACTGGTACTTTGACCATCACTGACTACAAGCTGTACTTCACAAGCGTGGAACCGGTATGTTTCTAAATCAGCCGATGTTTGAACAATTGCCGGAACTAACTAACTCATTTAAATACCCCATGTTCACCACAGGAGGCGCCCTTTATTCTTGATGTGAATCTTGGAGCCATTAGTCGGCTAGAAACCATCAGCGTGCCAAACCAAGGAGAGAATTACAAAGGCCTCGAGTTGGTCTGCAAGGTATCACTTAATAACTGATCTATGTATTTAACCCAGACATGGTTTCTTTTAATGAGACAAAAAATGTAAAGAAGCTAGTACTGCTTAAGTGTATATAGGAGGATTATCCGGGTGGATCATCAAGACTATTTGTCCTCCCAACTGTCAATCATTCTGGTGATATGTGCTCGTCAAATAAGACCAGAGAGTTTAGTTTAAAAAGTGGAGAGGGGGCGGTTCCTTCCTAAAGTTTGGGAAAATCCTCCTATACCTTTTATTTACTTGACATGTTCGTTGCCGGGTGTGGTCTGTGGCCTGAAACGTTGCGGTCTCTGGAGAAGTGAATCCCAAGTGTGAGCGAAGGTGTAAGCCCCCTCGTTTCTGTTCATGGTCTGTGCGCCCCGTTTCCTGATTTAATTTTGTATCCATCTTTTGTATTTATGTTCTTCTGTTCCTACTATTTTTGCGTTGTCCCAGTCCAGTATGCGATACATTTATATATATTGCTGATTTGAGGTTTTCTAAAAGAAGACAAAATGAACTTTTTACATAGTTTCATATTACCAATTGTGCTAGAATTACACAACACTTATGACGGTGCATTTTTCAACAGGACATGAGGAGTCCCAGGTTCGCCTATAAAACCGAGGAGAATCATCCGGATGTGGTGAAAGTCCTCGCACAACATGCCTACCCTCTCTCAAACAGCCTGGTCAGCTTCAATACACTTTTTTACTCATTATTATTCATATCCGCTCTAATGAATAGCTTTTAGATAAATGATTGTTCTGTTCCAGCCACTGTTTGCATTCCTCTACAAGGAGCAGTTTCCTGTGGACGGGTGGAAAGTCTATGATGCAGCAGCGGAGTACAGACGACAGGTAAATCAGCATCACGTAATCTCACGTACAGTAAGGTCTGGTATTAGTACTACATGCATGGCTTACTATGTCATAATCTGTTTGTTTTTTTTACTTACATTCTACTAGATTTCTTTTTAACAACAAAAAAAGTCAAATTATTATACCAAAATAAACTATACCTTTACTGTCACACCTATACAGATTAAAAATAACCATGTGCAAATCCTGAGTAGAAGTGAAAAATAAATACTATATGAAACCAATGAGCAGACGTACATATGGTATAATGTGTGTTTTACTGGTAGTCTCCGATCTCCGTGTTTTATGATGGATTTTGAGTCGTACATTGCCGGTGCAGGAGAGACAGTGGCTTGATGGACATTTAAGATGAAGTAAGATTAAAGGCACACCGCGGACTTTGTGACCTAAAGAGTTGACACATATGAGTTATTTTATATGAATACTTGGGCCAATATACAGCGCTTGACACTTGCAATGCTCCGAGCGGGGCTGCCCTCTTGAAATACCGCCCATGTAAGTTTCGAGCAGACGGACCGTCTGCCACCAGGTCACGTGACTTGGAAGAAAGACTTGCTTTACGGCTACAGGCGCTGATATACTCATGGAGCTAAGGCTTTTGCTACTCATTTTTCACCTGCTCGACTCCTGGTCATGGCTGAGGCAAGGAAAAATTTGAAACCTTCGGAGGAGGCTAAAAAGAGGAAACGCGAAAGGGATCGTGCTGTAAGCTGCATGTCTGTATGAGCGCTGCTCTTCACCTGGTTCCTGGATGTCATCGACCGCAACGATGTCATTCCACGCAGCACGAGCTAGACGCAGAACTCCCTCATCCAGGATATAGAAGTCCATGTGTGGTAGATTACTAATGCAGCGGTCTGGAGGCTGACCACAGCAGAGTCTCTCAATATCTGTAGGCATGTCTCTACAGTTTGAACACACACACCAGTGCATGCTGTCTGAATACACACTCAAAAGACACCGGCTGACTGTTTGACTTTTGCGACAGTGCTGAGTTGCTTGTGGCCACTAGGGGCGCTAAACGTGAAAGTTGCAGGTCTAGCGCCCCTAGTGGCCAAGAGTTACACGGTGTGCCTTTAAGAGATCTTTTATTTGTCCCACAGTGGGGAAACTTCTGTGTTGCATCACAAGTTATAGAACAGTAGGAAAGAGGAGCAGACGGCACAAGATAAGTGAACAATAGCTGTACTAATTAAAATGAAAGAAAATGTCTAACTCTAGCATCAATAACAAGTATAAAAACTCAATCTTGAAAATAATAATAAAAAGAAGTGTAAAAGTTTTCTGGACAGTTAAGATTTATGGACAAATGGCTTTCTATGGTCAAATTCTCTGATCTGTTGTAGAGGAACGGTGTTGGGGAGAATACTTTGAAAATATATTCCGTTTCACAAACCTAAATACTTGACCTAAAATGTATTTGTTTTTTTGTAGTTTTCTGAATACTTTTATCTATGCTTTAATTTTTTTTAATGATTAAAATCTTTAAAAAGATAAATTTACAAATCTTTTAAACCACAACCTCAATAAAAGTTTCAATGTTTATGATATTTTATTTTTCAAAAACAAGCCAAAGTGCTTCTCCAGCTGCCGTTCAACAACCAAAAAAATACAATCCTCACTTTAAGAATACGCAACGTTTTCTTTTCTTTTTTTTTGCCTAAACAGCGTAATGTGAAATTTTGTATTCCTGTGATTTCATGAAAGTAACTGTATTCTAGTAACTAGACTTTAAAGTAGTAACTGTGACGTTATGGCGTTACATTACGTCACAGCATGTTTCCCGTCAGTCCCAAACACTCTAGAGAAATAGACTACTCTGTAAAGTCCTTCGAAATGACTGCTGTGAGAGAAGGATTGATGATGATGATGATGATGATTGTGATCATCAGGGCCTGCCAAACGAGAGCTGGACCATCAGTAAGATCAACAGCGGCTACGAGCTGTGTGACACCTACCCCTCCATCGTGGTCATCCCCACCAACATCTGCGACGAAGACATCAGGAGAGTGGCGCTGTTCAGAGCCAAGCACCGCATCCCGGTCAGTGCAGGACTAACCCATCTCAAAACTACTTTATTTTTGAGTTTTTGCCTGTAGAGTTCAAATGGTCAGAATGGTCATAAATGTTTATCACAAAAAATTACCAAAGTTTTGCAAGGTTCACAGTCAGTTTTTAACTTGACTCCACCTCCAGGCCTTTCTGTGTGGAGTTTGCATGTTCTCCTCGTGTCCTGCGTATCTTTCCTCCAGGTGCTACGGTTTCCCCTACGACTAAAAATGTATAGGTCTGAATGCAATGAGTGAGTGAATGGATGGTGTTGGTTGCGTCCGTCAAAAATATCTGAAATCTGACCATTGATCTCTGTGGGTGACCTTGTGGCTGGTGTGGGTGGCACTCTCGCCTCTCAGCAAGAAGGTCCTGGGTTCGAATCCCGGTTGGACCAGGGCCTTTCTGAGTGGAGTTTGCATGTTCTCCCAGTGTCTGCGTAGGTTTCCTCCGGCTGCTCCGGTTTCCCCTACCTCTAAAAATATGTACAATAGGTATGGCATGTGCCTCCTGCATGTGCCACCCAACAATTGTAAACCGCTTTGAGACTCCGATGTGCAGTGAAAAGGCGGTATATAAATAAAGCTTACTTACTACTACTTACTTACCTTGGTCTGTAAAATGCGCTATATAAACAAACATGACTGACTTCGATCCGTGCAGGTGCTGTCGTGGATCCACCCGGAGACTCAGGCCACCATCGTGCGCAGCAGTCAGCCGCTGGTGGGTCCGTCAGACCGCCGCTGCAAAGAAGACGAGCGCTTCCTCCAGATCATCATGGACGCCAACGCCCAGTCGCACAAACTCACCGTGTTCGACGCACGCCAGAGCAGCGTGGCCGACACCAACAAGGTCAGGATCAAACGTCTGCCATCGTCAGCGGCAACCAGCACGTCTAATGCAGGGCTGTCCGACTCTTTATGGTCGGGAGGGAGAGTGAGCGCTGCTGTGGGTGGGGTGTGCGGGTCATTGCTCATCAGGATCCAAAATGCAAAACAATTGATATTAAAGAGGGACAAAAAAGTCAGAGGCACAACTGACTTTAAAGTAAAAATAAGTTCAATGTAAATCAAATCATCTATTTATCTGATTTATTACAACACTGAACATCATCAAACTCATTTATTTACTTTTGTCCCGAGTTAATACATGATTTTTACTTTAAAGTCAGTAGTGCCTCTGAAAATGTTTTTCTCCCGTCATCATTATGAGAGATATACTTAATTGATCTCACAATGGTCAGAATGAAAAAAAAAATACGCACTCCCCTGTGGCCAAAAGAATATAAACGTCTTGGCTCATGTTTACATCCTGTATTGGTATTTTGACCAAGGATTTTTATCTGATTTGAGAGATTATGTTTGTTTTTCTGAACAAAACTAGTTCAGTGACTGTTTTTGGACTGAACCCAAGCTAGGTCCAAGTTAAAAGATTGGTCAATGATTTATATATTTCAATTAAAGGTGTATAGGAGGATTTTCTACGTCCGGGTGGATCATCAAGATAATTGGTCCTCCCGATTGTCAATCATTCTGGTGATACGTGCTCGTCAAATAAGACCAGTGAGTTTTTTCAAAAAGTGGAGAGAGCGGTTCTTTCCTAAAATTTGTGAAAATCCTCCTTTTTATACCTTTTTAACAATTTATAATTAACTTTGCTGTATAAGATTAGCTTTAAAATGAGGTACAGCACGCCATTATAGCACTTTATGACCTCACATCATGCAAGTTAATAATAATAATTGAGAATCCTTTCAGCGGCCTCTCAAAATGCTCTGGGGTGCCTTGGGTTTGACACTTGTGACCTAATGCAAATGCGCCCCCTGCAGGCTAAAGACGGCGGCTACGAGAGCGAGAGTTTTTACACAAATGTCGACCTGAACTTCCTTGAAATCCCAAATATCCACGTGATGCGAGAATCTCTGAGGAAAGTGAAGGATGTCGTGTATCCCACCATCGACGAGGCCCACTGGCACTCGGCCATCGACCAAACACACTGGCTGGAGTACATAAAGGTACGGGTTCACAAAGGTACGGGTGCACAAAGGTACGAGGGGAAGCCAGTATGCGCCTTTACATGACGATCAAATGGAAATATTACAGTCAGAGAAATGATTGGAACGTATTCTGCCGCATGGTTGGGCTTTATCCATTCTCCATCCATCCATTTTCTTCCCCTTAATCCATTTCTGGGTCGAGGGGGTGGCAGTTAGAGCTGCACTCAGTACACAGAGCACCAGCCCCTCACTAATCCTCTTGCAGGTGGTGAGTCCACAGGAGCTGAGATCTTTTCAATGTGGGCTTAGGGGTTAAGGGGTTAAGTGTCTTGCCAAAGAACACGACAGCAGTCATCAGTGGAAGCCGTGAAGTTAGTTTCATGGTGGAGGTCTAAAGGCCAATGCTCTACCAACTGAGCCACTGCCGCCCTCATCTATCCATTCTCATTATGTTGTATTTTGGGGGTGGAAATGTTGACTTTGAAGTTTTCCACCTCTGTTTCTCATTCTGTAAACGAGATATGATCCATTGAGCATTTAATTTGAAAATGAAGTAACAAACATGCAAACATATGCGCAGATAAAACAGTGAGTGATTAGAGGAGTTTTTGGCATGAATTAAAGCTTAGATACATCTTTTTTAAGTTGAATGAATGTTCTTTGTCCCAACAGAAAGTCTTGTAAAAGTAACATTTTGTGCACCTCTGTCATCTGTTGTCTTACGTATGAATTTGCCAACCACTGACTTGTGGTGTGGTGTGTCTTGGCCACGTCTGGCGCATGCTGCCGATTGATCTTTTAACAACAATGCGCTCTTTCATTTTTATTCTCTTTCTCTGTCCTCACTGATCACCACGATTCTCCTCTGTGTTTTTTTGGTTTCCTTTAACGTCAATTAGGTAGCTTAGCTTTTTACCAGATATGGTGCCATAGACTACATGCTGAATGGCGATAGTAGTAGTAGTATTTTTTTCCCTTTTTTTGCCATGTAATATTGGAATGGTTGTTTTTTGTCTTGTGTGATGTGGATTGTGAAGCGCTTTGTGTTGCCCTGTGCATGAAAGGCGCTCTACAGATGATGATTTATTTTAATGGTTAAATGTGTAATGTGTGTTTGTGTGTGTCCAGCTGTTACTGGCCGGAGCAGTGAAAGTGGCCGATAAACTGGAGTCGGGGAAGACTTCGGTGGTGGTGCACTGCAGTGACGGCTGGGACCGCACCTCGCAGCTCACCTCTCTGGCCATGCTCATGCTGGACAGTCACTACCGCACCATACAAGGCTTCCAGGTCAGGACCCCTCACACACATGAGGCTTAATATGTACTATACAATCCCCTACACATAAAGATGCCTCTGCTGACAAAAATAAATGAGATTTATATTTTTTCAAATTTAATACGACATATATTTTGAAAATGCATTAATATTGTTTATTATCATTATTATTTGTATTTAATTTTTTCTAATGTATTTTAAACAAGAGCATTAGATAAGAGCTCAAAAGCACTTTATTTTTTTATGTATTTATTTTGAAAAAATAATATATTTAATTGTATTGAGATGCGTATACGCAGGCTCTGTAAGTTCCCAGCAATAAAAAAACATATGTTATAATTATTAGTTCAAGTTTGCAATTGATCAACTGCTTTTTTCCTGCAGGTTTTGGTGGAAAAGGAGTGGATCAGTTTTGGGCACAAGTTCTCATCGGTAAGTTTCTGCATGGAATGAATGAATGAATGAATGAAGCCTTTTATTATGGACTCTGGGGCCAATAGACACAAACAAGTTAAAAAGACATAATGAATTAACTGGTTACAACAAGATTTAAAAGTGAGGTGTTCGACAGCTTGAGCCAGGGGTCCAAACCGGTTTCAGAAGGGGCCTGTGTGGCAGCAGGTTTGAGGATCCTGCAGTTGACGCCCCTGGCTTTACTAATACCTTCCATGACTCATTCACCAGTTTTTTGGGGTTTTTTTTTACTATAAAGGAGCTGCTAAAATGACTCAAAAAATGAGTCCTTAAACTCTGACAACAGCCCAACTCTACCGCCATGAAAATACACACATTAGCCACATCAGTATATAAACCGCATTGGTATACAAGCCGCATATGTATTTAAGCTGCATCGGTATATAAGCTGCAGTAAAAAGTAGCGGCTTTTAGTCCAGAAATTACAGTGGTTTTTAGAGTTAATAATGATGATGATGTTTGACTACTGTGTGTCGTTATCAATGACAATAATGAAACAAATAATAATAATAATAATAATAATAATAACAGAATGAACTAGTGGAACCAGTGCTTCCACATCCTCGACTGGTAACGGGGCTGCACTTCAACGGATTTTATGTTTGTGTTACCATTGTGTAGTATTGTGTGTTTGTGTTGCCATTGTGTAGTATTGCAGTGTGTGTTTGTGTTGCAGCGTGTGGGTCATGGAGAAGACAACCACTCGAGCTCGGAGCGCTCTCCTCTCTTCGTCCAGTTCGTAGACTGCGTGTGGCAGATGACCCGACAGGTGGCCGTTGTTGACCGTTACTCTTGGGTCAGTTTGAAAGCGGGTCATGTGACTGTGCTCTCTCTGTGACTACAGTTCCCATCAGCCTTTGAGTTCAACGAGCTCTTCCTGATCACAGTGCTGGACCATCTGTACAGCTGTCTGTTCGGGACCTTCCTCTACAACAGTGAGCAGGAGAGGACCGCCCAGGTTTGTCATGAGGACTATGATGAAAATGAATATAATTGAAATTGATATTGACAATGATAAAAAAAATATGATATTATGACATTATTACCATACTTTCTAGACAACTAGGCGCACCTGTATATAAGCCACAACAGCAACATATTAATAAAACGTACATTTAGTCCACATCCAGGCACTTGAATATAAACCGCAGATTTTCATGTTGTAATGTAGCAGAAAAGACGAGTGTTTTAACTGGTTGCAATATGATTTAAAAGTGAGGTGTGTTTGAGAACTTAATCCAGGGGTGTCCAACCGGTTTCAGAAAGGGCCGGTGTGGCAGCAGGTTTGAGGATCCTGCTGTTGACGCCCCTGGCTTTACTATTACCTTCCATGACTCATTCACCAGTTTGTTATTTTTTTGACGATAAAAGAGTGTCCTAGAGCTGCTGAAATGACTCAAAATAAGTCCTTAAACTCTGACAACAGCCCAACTCTATCGCAATGAAAATACACACATTAGCCGCATCGGTATATACAGTAAGCCACATCGGTATATAAGCCGCATCGGTATATAAGCCGCATCGGTATATAAGCCGCATCGGTATATGAGCTGCAGTAAAAAGTAGCGGCTTACAGTCCAGAAATTACAGTAGTTTTAGTATTAATAATGATGATGATGTTTGACTACTGTGTGTTGTTATCAATAATAATAATGATAATGGTGATAGAAATAACACTAGCTTAAAATAACATCAGTAATAGCAAAGGAAGGTTTCTCACCCATCATCTGTACTTCTTAGCAAGTTTTCCCGACGTTTCGTCCTCAACCTAGCGGACTTCTTCAGGGAATGAATTCTCGGACCGCGCGTTGGAGATTTATAACCTCTGGGTGTGGTTAGACACACCCTAATCCTGATACTAACTCATAAACAATCTACGGTCTGCTTGATGTAGAAGGGGAGCAGGTCTAACGATCCTGCTGAGGCTAACGACCCTAACTCCTTAGCATGTCACAGACCTATTGTCTGCTGGGATGCTCAAGTGGAGTGCAGGTTTCACCCCTCCTAACTCATTAGCATGTCACTGACCTTGTCCCAAGTTAGGGCGTTGTTTTTAGGATGTCGTCATAGATGCGAGGCAAAATAAATCTTAACCCTCCTCCTCTGTTAAGAGAAGGTTTTTGTTTCCTCACAAAAATGGCTTCTTTCACTCCTCTCTCAAACCAATTCTTCTCCCGAGCCAGAATTTTAACCTCTGTGTCATCCACCGTGTGGTTGGAGGCCTTGAGGTGGAGATGAACAGCCGACTGTGGCCCACTAGAGTTTTCTCTACGATGTTGGTAAAGTCGTTTCTGTAGAGTTTGTTTGGTTTCTCCAATATAGTGGTCCGTGCACTCCTCTTCACTACATTTAATTGAATACACCACATTGCTCTGTTTGTGTCTGGGTGTTTTGTCTTTGGGATGCACTAATTTCTGTCTTAACGTGTTGAAAAGTTTGAAATACACAGGGATTTTGTGTTGCCTAAAGATTCTTTGTAGTTTCTCTGAAACTCCCGCCACATACGGTAAGGACACGCCTCTCCTCCTACTTTCTTCTGTCTGTTGGACTGTGTCTCTGGCCTTTCTCGTCCTTTGGGCTTTAGTAAAAGACCACTTGGGGTAGCCACATCTGGAAAGTGCTCTCTGAACATGTTTGGTTTCTCTGTTCTTTCCCTCCGAGCTTGTGGGGACCTGGTGGGCTCGGTGTTGAAGCGTTATAATGACCCCGAGTTTGTGTTGTAGCGGATGATTTGAATCAAAGGCCAGGTACTGGTCAGTGTGAGTGGACTTTCTGAAGACCTCAGTCTCTAATTGTCCGTTCTCCAGTATGATGACCTTACAATCTAGAAAGGCGAGTTCACTCTCCTTAGCATGAAATTTATAAAAGGGTCCACCGAGTTAATGTGTTCTGACTTCCTGTTTCTTTAACTTAACCCATGTATCGTCTACATATCGAAACCAATGGCTTGGCGCTGTCCCTTGGTAAGAGCCCAGGGCTTGTTCCTCCAGTTTCTCCATATACAGATTGGCCACTATAGGAGAGACTGGGGAGCCCATCGCACAGCCATGAATCTGTCTAAAGAAGGTGCCTCTAAATTGGAAATACGTGGTGTTAAGACACATTTCAAGTATTTCACAGATGTGGTCAGCTGTTAGTTTCGTTCTCTCCCCTAGTGTGGCGTCTTTCTGTAGGCTTTCTCTTACAGCCTGCACCGCCTCTGTAATAGGAACCGACGTAAAAAGCGATGTCACATCAAACGAGACCATTGTCTCATCTGTGTCAAACTGGAGGTGTTTGATTTTATTTACAAATTCTTTTGTGTTTTCTATGTGATGGTAGGTGTTACCCACCAAAGGAGCCAGAATGGTTTTGAGGTGTTTAGCCAGGTTGTAGGTGATAGAGTCTATGCTACATACAATAGGCCGAAGTGGAAAGTTTTGTTTGTGTATTTTTGGGAGTCCATAAATACTGGGAATGGTGTCTCCTGGGTAAAGTTTGTAATATAGTGGTTTTTCAATAATGCCCTCTTTCACTAAGCTCTGAAGGAAGTCTATAATCTTTTTCCTAAACCCACTGGTAGGGTCCCTCTTCAATGGCTGGTACGTGTTGGTGTCCAAGAGTAACTGATTAACTTTGGCCTCATAGTCTGAGCTGTTGAGGATAACTGTGCATCTGCCTTTGTCAGCTGGTAAAATAGTTATACTCTCATCCTTTTGTAATGCCATTAATGCTTTTTGCTCATCTAATGAGACATTGGATTGTGGGGGCTTCGCACTTTTGAGTGTTGCAGAGACTCTCAGTCTGAGGGCCCCCGCCTCACTCTCAGTTAGTTTGTTGTTTCTAATGGCTGCTTCTGCTGCTGTGATGTATTCAATTGTAGGAATATCTTTTGGGGTTATTGCAAAATTTAGGCCTTTAGTAAGAACATCTTTTTCCGCTTGTGATAGAAACTGGAGGAACAAGGCCTGGGCTCTTACCAAGGGACAGCGCCAAGCCATTGGTTTCGATATGTAGACGATACATGGGTTAAGTTAAAGAAACAGGAAGTGGAACCTTTTTCAGAACACATTAATTCGGTGGACCCTTTTATAAATTTCACTCGCGAGGATGCTAAGGAGAGTGAACTCGCCTTTCTAGATTGTAAGGTCATCATACTGGAGAACGGACAATTAGAGACTGAGGTCTTCAGAAAGTCCACTCACACTGACCAGTACCTGGCCTTTGATTCAAATCATCCGCTACAACACAAACTCGGGGTCATTAGAACGCTTCAACACCGAGCCCACCAGGTCCCCACAAGCTCGGAGGGAAAGAACAGAGAAACCAAACATGTTCACAGAGCACTTTCCAGATGTGGCTACCCCAAGTGGTCTTTTACTAAAGCCCAAAGGACGAGAAAGGCCAGAGACACAGTCCAACAGACAGAAGAAAGTAGGAGGAGAGGCGTGTCCTTACCGTATGTGGCGGGAGTTTCAGAGAAACTACAAAGAATCTTTAGGCAACACAAAATCCCTGTGTATTTCAAACCTTTCAACACGTTAAGACAGAAATTAGTGCATCCCAAAGACAAAACACCCAGACACAAACAGAGCAATGTGGTGTATTCAATTAAATGTAGTGAAGAGGAGTGCACTGACCACTATATTGGAGAAACCAAACAAACTCTACAGAAACGACTTTACCAACATCGTAGAGAAAACTCTAGTGGGCCACAGTCGGCTGTTCATCTCCACCTCAAGGCCTCCAACCACACGGTGGATGACACAGAGGTTAAAATTCTGGCTCGGGAGAAGAATTGGTTTGAGAGAGGAGTGAAAGAAGCCATTTTTGTGAGGAAACAAAAATCTTCTCTTAACAGAGGAGGAGGGTTAAGATGTTTTGCCTCGCATCTATGACGACATCCTAAAAACAACGCCCTAACTTGGGACAAGGTCAGTGACATGCTAATGAGTTAGGAGGGGTGAAACCTGCACTCCACTTGAGCATCCCAGCAGACAATAGGTCTGTGACATGCTAAGGAGTTAGGGTCGTTAGCCTCAGCAGGGTCGTTAGACCTGCTCCCCTTCTACATCAAGCAGACCGTAGATTGTTTATGAGTTAGTATCAGGATTAGGGTGTGGCTAACCACACCCATAGGTTATAAATCTCCAACGCGCGGTCCGAGAATTCATTCCCTGAAGAAGTCCTTTGGATTGAGGACGAAACGTCGGGAAAACTTGCTAAGAAGTACAGATGATGGGTGAGAAACCTTCCTTTGCTTTGACTAATCCCTGTACGACTGAGAGCTTACACAAACATCAGTAATAATTATTGTGATGAAAATCTTGGAGATCAGAAATAATAATCCTCAAGTGGAGTCAGTTTGTGTGAGATGTGCTTTTGTTTGTAGGAGGTGCAGAGTAAGACCATCTCGCTGTGGTCCTACATCAACAGGTAAATCACACATTCATAAATACTTACAGCGTGTTTGCGGTGTCTGACTCGTGCTTCTCTTCAGCCAACCAGAGGACTTCTCCAACCCCTTCTTTGTGGACTACGAGCACCATGTCCTGTACCCGCTGGTGTCCTCGCGCCATCTAGAGCTGTGGACGGGGTACTACGCCCGCTGGAACCCCCGCATGAGGCCCCAGGTCAAGGCTCCACACATTTTTTTTTTATTTATACTCCCCATGGATCAGAACAGAGGTTCAAACTAATTTTGGTCGAGGGCCAAATTTAAAAACATAAAAGCTGTTTGGGGCCAGATGCATAATAGTGGTATAAATTGTTTATTAATAATTGTTTTTGTTTTTTTTACATATTTTTGACAGATAATTACTTTTCTAGTAGGTTTGGATTCAACCACAACAGGGAAAAATAACAAGAAAAGACATTTTGGAAGATTGATATTTAAATATAAAAAAATAAGTCTCTATAACTTATAATTACATTTTAGTTAACATTTTAGAACGTATTCAATTATGTGATCGTTTTCCTGAGATAATGGGCTTTAAAATTAAGTATAACATGCCATAGTTTCCCGTTACCGTCAATGCTGCAAGTTGCTCTGATAATGATAACGGAAAATCATTTCAGGGACCACTAAAAATGGTTTTGCTGGCCGGATTTGGCCCACAAGCCTGGGTTTGACATGTCTGATCTAGAACAAAGCCAACCCTCCAGGTTAAATACACGTCAGGCTTGTGAAGATGCAACCCAAATCCAATATATTAGAGTTTATTTTTGAGCTTTATTCATCCTTTTTTGGGTTTCGGTAGATTCCTTGTTGACGGTGCTGTGCTGTGCTGTGCTGTGCTGTGATGTGTCCAGGTCCCGGTGCACCAGACCCTGAAGGAGCTGCTGTTTGTGCGCGCAGAGCTGCAGAGACGTCTGGACGAGCTGCAGAAGGAGGCGGCGGCTCAGTCCGTCTCCTCCTCCTCAGAGCACTCCCCCTCTCACCCCGGGACCCCCCTGCACTCGGCTGTCTGACAGCTTTCCTTCGGCTGCTTCCCAATTCTCAACACAATGCATTCTTCCTTGGTCTTCACAGCTCCCCCTTGTGGCATTAAAACGTCTTTGAAATGTGTTTAGTTTCACTGGAGCTGCCCAAACGATCACATTTGAAGGACAAGACAGACGAGGAAGGAATGTTGTATTGGATGCCAGGCTTGTTTATCTTGATTTTGAGATTTTTTTGCAATTTAATTTATTTTTGTATTGCCCTAAATCACAAAAGCAGTCAACAATAGGAGGATTTGACAAAGATCATTGAATCAAACCGTTTAAAAACACAGAAAATGCAATCATAACAAATACATAGGAGCCATTGGTCCATAAGGAGCTGGATGACTAAAGTCCAGAAATGTTAATGTCCCGGATTATCACTGTCCTCAGACCCTCCTGCATCAAAAAGACACAACTGAAAAAAACCCAGTGGGGAACAAAAGTGAGAAACCTCAGGGACAGACATTCTGTAGATCCAGGACAGAATGTCCTGGATCTACTCTTAGATCCTACTCTTAATTTGCCAATTAAGAGTTTTGATCAATTGGCAAAACTCTTATCTCTTCCTTCTCTCTTCTCACTGCGTCTGTGTGTGGAAGTTTGTCATTTTTATCCTGCTGAGAGATGGACGTAAAGGCGGGAAGAGGCCAGGAATCAACTGTGAACGTGAAGGGCCCAAACTATTAAAGATTCCAGATTTTTTTTGTTGCCATTTGCAGTAAAACCACATTGGAAAAACTGTGCAAGACTGCCCCAGTGTGCACCAGACAGAAGATGGCACACACCAAGTAAACGGACAAGTAACGGACAAGACCTTGGTTACTCCATTTCTATAGTCATTATTTAAACCAGTATTTAATATTTTACTTTTATATTGACGTATTTATGTAATGTTCACTTAGTTGACACATTTTAAGTTGGTTTTGATTTAGTAGAAAGTGAAAGGACAACGTGAGGTCTTGGTTTCTCTATCTAGCCTCTACTGAAAGTGTTTGAATCTGGTCTCCAATTGGTTTCTGTCCTAAATTTGTAATCTCTAAACATTTGGCAGGGGCCTTTTACTGACTGAAGAATAACAGTTATTCTATTTATTTCTATGTACTTTGTTGTCCATAGCATTTTTTCATTTTGAGAAGCCTCATAGATTATAGATTTGAATATTTGTGCCATAAATGTTTTTTCTATTGACATTGTTTACATTTCTACAGCTCCAAAAACTGAATTTTAGTTTTATGTTTACCACAGAACCCAACATCTGCTGCCTTATTACTTATTGTTACAACCTTTGTCAATTTGACCAAGTTGAGTTGAATCACTGAGAGGAAGGGTTTGTTTGTCAAATGAAGAATTCACCAGTTACTGTCAAAGTTACTCTTTACACAAGCTCCTGTTTTTACAGGACGACAATGATGTGGTTTTCTCATGGGAAAGTGTTACAGAATGCATGCCATGGATGGAACTGTGGAATCTCTGCTGTTACAAAGATCAGATGAACTTGTGACCCTGGACATGTGAATGAGCCAGTATTCACATGTCTTTACAATTGTAAATTTAATACTGACTGTAAATCTTAAGCCATACAAACTTCTCACATTTCACCTTAAAAAAGAATAAACACTGAAAGGCTGGGTTTGTGTTTTCCAGTTTTTATTTATTAGTAACAATGCATTGTAACATACTGCCAAAGAGCGGAGTAATATGAGAAAGCCGACTGTTCACAAGTACACTTAGGAGCGTAACCACTGTCCAACATTCAACTGTCAAAAAGACACAGAGGATATCGCTGTCTAACTACTATAGTCATGTTGAGGCATGCAAAGAATGTACACAGGGTATTGCAGGATTCTGGTGCACTGTGGGTGTGCGTGCAGGGTGCTGTGAGCCCTCAGCTGTTGGTTTGTGTCTGCAGTCAGGCACTGTGGTGGGCACCAGGGGGCGCTACAGGAAGGCCGGGTCATGTGACTGAGAAGGCACAGTAACCAGGGCAATGACAAGATGTTTCCAGAAGAATAGACTTATCCTCCTGGACTCTCCTTCACACAGGAGGTGTGTGCTCCTCTGAGAGCAGGAGGAGTGTGCTCCTCTGAGAGCAGGAGGAGTGTGCTCCTCTGAGAGCAGGAGGAGTGTGCTCCTCAAAGCAGGAGGAGTGTGCTCCTCAGAGCAGGAGGCGTGTGCTCCTCTGAGAGCAGGAGGAGTGTGCTCCTCTGAGAGCAGGAGGAGTGTGCTCCTCTGAGAGCAGGAGTCAGGGTCAGTGCAGTGATGTGAGATAAGGCAGTGTGCAGTCACATGTGTGTGTTTCACTGTGACTGAAACAGTCTGAGACGTGGCACAGGCGGCGGGACCAGGTCGAGATGTGAAAATGTGGTTAGAAAAGGTTCACAGGACAGTTATAAAGTGACATTCATGCTGTCATTCTTTCAGACTGTTTGAGGATATGAAGAGAAATGTAGGTGCAAAGAGATCGCTATATCATCATTTTAGAGACTGGTGCAATTGTGCAATTCAGTTTAGATCATTTTGTATCAATTCAAATGTTCTCTTTGGTGAAGATCTGCTGCAACAGTTTATTTCTTCATATATTTCCAATAGCTTTAGTAAACTGCGTCATGCTGCTTTAATGACAAGAACAGCAGCTCTGAGCTGATGTGGAGAGGGCACTGTGACATCACAGGGCCTCTCCATCACCCGTGCATGTTCCAGAACACATGAGAAGTCTACCAGTTTATGGAATTTGAAAGACGTTTGGAAAAGGTGCTTTGAGCCTCGGTTTGTGTCTTTCATCTGCAGTGTCAGTAAAACAGAAGATTCAAGTCGGCAGCAACACAGTCCTGCTGCATTGTCTCAGGGGAAACCAAAAACAAAAAAGAAATTTGGCACAAAGATGTTAATGGCTTCACTAGTGTCCCAGCAGAGAGGCGCAAAGCCAAAACAAAAGTCATGTAAAGACTCCCTGCCCACTGTACCATCACCTCGCTCTGGTCACAGCGGTGCTCACAAGGCCCTCTGAACCCCTGAACCCTCTGAAGTCATTATAACCCAGCGAAATGTAACTGTGCACCTGAGGATTCATCATAAACATACACCACATTTAGCAGGAGTGTCTGATCCATTTGTTCCAAGCTCTATATTCTTCATCTGGCTCTCCTCTCTCTCAGTGTTTACATCTTTACTGCAGAAATCTACTGCTCCTGCTACAACAACCAGAACGCTGAAAGTACAAAAGTGTCTGCTCAGCTACAGGCCAGACCTGGGTACAAAGTGTAAAAAGACTAAGAGTATTGCTCAAACACAGACCACACAAAACTGTTCACGGAATATTTACAAGCCGCACTACTCTCTACAGCACACAGACACTGCAAAGTCCAGGAGCCAACTACAGTTACTGTCTAAAAACTCTTTTTCTGCACCTGCCAGTCTCTGTCCAATCATTTCACACGCATCACTCACTCCTTATCCAAAGACGTTTGTAGCTACACTGGGAATCAGCCAGAACATGGATTTTTCTTTTTTTTTAGATTGTCCATTTGTGGCCATGTCTGATCAAGACAAAGACATCGCTCATAACTCATTCCAGGTTCCACGTTTTTAAGGAGATTGTAGCCACGTAAAATTTGGCATAAGATCAAAACAAATTTGCAGCTGCAGCAGTAACATGGAGGGTGTATGGAGGCTTATCGATAAGCCAGTAATCCAAGAACTGAGTCAAATCAAGCATTATTGCGGTTTTAGCTTTTAAGCCACGGTTCAGATAAATAAAAAAAAGTGCCAAAAGTTTCTTTGTTCAAACGCTCAAAGTATAAGCCACAGCCGGCATCTCATTGGAAATGCTACACAAGTGACTATCGCTCTATTCTTATCGCTATCATTTACCCCCGTTACTATCAATGTTATTATTCCAAAACCATCTCAAAACTATCAAGGTTCCTTTCCTTAGTATTATCAAAAACGGCAGTCTAAAAAAACTAGAAAAAGATACAGGCATTAAGTCCAGACAATTATCACAAGCCTTCGTAATAAAAAAGGCCTTCAAGAGACACAACTAACAACACAACTACATACAGGAAATATTGAGGAAAACCCTTCTTTAAACCATTTCTTCATGTGTTTGAATAAGTGGCTGGTTTGTTACTAAGTGTACGCTAAAATACATCCATCCATCCATCCATTTTTTCCCCTTAATCCATTTCTGGGTGGGGGGGGGTGGCAGTCAAAGCTGCACCCAGTACACACAGCACCAGCATCTTAAATCAATTTCACGTTTTTTTTTACTCACTATATCCATAAGATAACTTGTTTTCACTTTAAAAGAGGAACGAGCACCCATAAGGGCTATCAATAAATAAACTGCCACTCACAAACTTTGTCCAGACCATGATCTACGTCTGACTTGATAAGAATTCTATGGAAACGACTGAAATAAACAGGTTCCTCTGCATGCTCCTAGTGTGTTTTAACAACGCTGCAGACGCCTCACCAACATGTCCACGATTCCACTCAGATCCAAAGTGAATTATAATCATGAAAGAAAAATGTCCTGCTTCTGCACATGAGAATGTTGCCTTCATGTTTCCGGGGGTTAGTACAAAACAAAAAGCAAACTGATATTTACAGAGCGACACGTCTGAAGAAATAATAAATAATTATGTACAAAAGTTACTGGCAAAGTTTGGTATGAGCCCAGATTCACAGCAGTTAAAAAAGAAAGTTTAAAAGTCACATTCAGAGCAGCGAATGCAGCATCTGGGGAGTGTGTGCGTGTGTGTGTGTGTGTGTGTGCATGTTGCAGTGTGTGTGTGTGTGTGTGTGTGTGTGTGTATTGTAGTAGTGTGCATTTGTGTGTCTGAGAGTGTGTGCTTGTGTAGTAGTAGTATGTGTTTATGTTTGTGTGTGGTGGAATAGTAGAATCTGTGTGTGACTGTGTGTGTGTGTGTGTGTGTGTGTGTATGTTGTACTAGTAGAGTGCGTTTGTGTGTCTGTGTGTGCATGTCTGAGTGCGTGTGCTTGTGTAGTAGCAGTATGTGTTTATGTATGTGTGTATGGTGGAATAGTAGTAGTATCTGTGTATGTGTTCTTACGCACGCTTGTGTGTGTCCGTGTGTCTCTGTGTGTGTATGTTGTAGTAGTGTGCGTTTGTGTGTGTCCGTGTGTCTCTGTGTGTGTATGTGTGTGTGTGCGGTCTTCAGGTTGGGCTGCAGTGGACGACGTTACACAGTGTTCTCTTCGGCTGGAGGCTCAGCGTTGGCCGACTCCAGGAGGTTCTGCTGGACTGTGGAGACAAAGGACCAATCTCATCTCAAAGACTGTTCATATTCTGGTCTCATATTAGATTCAGAAAAAAAAAATTATTGCCATGTGAGATGGAAATCACAAGCTAGGGAATTGCTTTGGCTTTTGGTGCAACCAAGTTATAAAACTAAAACTAGAATGAGGCAGAATTTACAGCTAAAGAAATAGTCATCCTCTATTGTTTGCCTGTGTCTTTAATTTATTTATGCTTTGTTTTAGTGGGAAAAAGGATTAAATTAAATAAATAAAATGTGCCTTGTTACACGTATTATGGGAAAAAAGTGTGAACTAATGAAGATGACACAATAAAGTAATAATAAAAAATAAAAACAGCTACTACAATATTATACGAGTGCACTCAGTAAACTTGAAATTCTTAAAATTACTACAATAAACAAGTGCACACAATAGACATGTGGAAGTGCAGGTAACTAATCACAATTCTGATGTTTCCCCACAGTGGGAGGAATAAAGCATCTCTTAATTCAATTCTAAACAGCAGCCTCTGAATTCTCACCTTGAGGCTCTGTGGCCACGACGGCGTCTGGGTTCTCAGACTTCACCATTTCTGAATTCAGACTCTCTGAAACACACACACAAACATGTTACAAACATCTCAGACATACAATTCTAGACCTATGCATATGGATGGGCAATGCTAACCTGCTAGCACTCATTGAGAAGCCCAATAGGGAAGTTCTCATGGACGAAGTTTTGCGCCAGCTGGTATTGAAAACTAACCTCCTCTAGCTCAGTAACCTTCTCATCTGCTCTCTGTGATCCGGGTGTTTATATTATGCATTGTCTTTGTAAATCCCGTTATGAGGCAAATAAGGATTGACCAATCAGCTGTCAACATTCGCAAGGGACGTTCCAGCTTGCCTAGCAACCATGTTAGCAACACGTCTGCCCCTGTTACAGCAGGAAGCTCACTTTGTCAGAAACAATGCCCATATAAGGAAATGTGCTTGTAAAGTCCTTACGCTGTATACTGAAGCAGAATTTCTTCTTCTGGTAGGAGATGTAGCTGGTGACGGCCCCCACCAGCGCCATGACGACGGCGCTTGCGATACCGGCGATGGTTCCCACCTCAGCCGTGGTTTCTGCAGGAGACCAGAGTGAGACACATACTCCATACTGTAGAAGGACAGAGCTAACACAAGTTCAATACAAATAAAATGTATTAATATTATAGTATTAAGTTCTCATGGGTTAAATTTAGCTCTTTCTCATTTTGGCTTCATTCATTTTAATTTTTTGTTATTTTAAAGCTTGGGTACATAACTTTTCCCGTATAACTAACACATGTTGTTAGTCCCCTCAGAAAGAGTTTTGTAAAAGTAAAATGTTGTAAACAAATCAGACCACACCATGTTGTCTTCAATTTATTAGAAATCAGGTTACTTATAACGCACATGAATGAAAAGTAAAAAAGCCTGGAGACTCACTAATTGAAGCTTAGGCCTGACAAACTTCTGTTTTACTTTTCTGTTTCAAAAACATTATTTAAAGCTGTGACAGAGGCCAAAAAACATCTAATTTAGCAAGGATTATATATGCCTAACCCCAAATTCGGAGGATGAGAGGAAATAGCCTCGCTCCTGATTGGATCTTTGGTTGCTATGAGGTTGCTAGGAGATAATTTGGCTCCAGATTTTCGCCCATAGAGCTTTGCAGAGTTAGATTGGTTTGGCTTCATGAGAGATTTCAAGGACTATGTTGTGTCAGTTTGTCCACTACTACTTGGCACACACACACACAGACACACACACGGCAGAGATGATACCTGTGTTGTCGTCGTACTGGTCGATGTGGTCACTGGGCTTGTTGCCTAGGAAACCACAACTTGCATTAAACCAACAGAGAGACACCCACAAGACTGTTTCCAGAGCTCATGTACCTTTGCCCTTGTCTGGTTTGTACGTGTTGTCTTTCCCCACATCCAACAGGTCGTCATCAGAGAATCCACCTGAGAAGAAATCGTAATCCTTGAATTCATGGGTCAGTCGTCCAGATCGTGGCAACAAGTGCTGTACAGAGGTTCCTCATTCATCCCGGGATTTAAATAAAAAATAATAATAACAAAATAGGTTTCTCATCAAAACAGTAAATGTGTTTTGATGTCATTTTGTCACATAAACACCGGTGGTTTGAGCCGTGGCGTTCTGCTCGAGTCTTTACGCCTCAATATGTTGAATTTAACTAAGTACAGGAGCTATTAAAGCTGGGGTACCTGATTTTCCAACCATAAATGAATGTATTGAGTTGGTTCTGTCTGATTTAAACATGTGACAGAGGCCATACATACACATGATAACTAGCGACAGAACTTTTGAGCATGGAACTTTAAACATTGATTATATTACAGTTATTTTCTTCTGGTTTGAAATTTAAGTACCCCAGCTTTAAGTAAGTGTGTAACATTAGTCATGAATTCTCTGTGAGAGCGTTTCCATTTTGGGACGGCAAAAACAGAAATATAACAGTCACATTTCTCAACATTAGCGACTGGTTTCTCAAAATCGAACGAGCTCTGACAGTAAGTTCATACTGGGCAGCATTCAAACACACGTGCTACAAAAACACAGGATAACATTTAACAAGAAAATAAGGTTTTGGCCGAGAATATTCTTCTTTTTGTTATTCCCATGCAAGACAAAAGCACCCACCTCCCGGGACCCGTTTTTTATCCTTTGCAGTAATGTCGTTGTTAGGGTCCAGTGCATCAGCCAGGTCAAAGTCATCAGGAGCTGGGACTGGGAGGGGCAGGAGGGGCAGGAGGAGCAGGATGAGCAGGAGGAGCAGGAGGAGCAGGAGGGGCAGGCAGGGCAGAGGAAACAAACACAGGGGGCGGGGGAGAAATATTTGGGAATGAGACAACACATATATGAAGCAAACAAGCTATACACTGCAAAAAGTGATGAAAAATAAGTAAAGAATAAGTAAAAAAATTTGTCAAATGTGGCAAAATGTATCTTGATTTCAGCAAGATTAAACTGCCTTGAAATGAGATTTGCCAATGGAACGCGCTAAATTATCTTGTTTTAAAAAGATACAAGAAATGTCTCCCTTGGGATGACAAAATAAAGCAACACTTCTTGAAATGAGACTAAATGGCTTTGTCCCATTGGCCAGACAATGGCAATTAAGACAGAATCTAAATAAAAAAACTCGATTCAAGCAGTTACTACCTCATATTTGATCACTTTTTTTCAGTGTGGTGTGTAGGCTGAGAGCATTACTGTTATAAGCACTTTTTGAGTTGCCTTGTGTATGAACGGTGCGATACAAATAAAATGGTCTTGCCCATTAGTGTTATCTCACTAGTGCTGCAGGAACAATTACTTTAGCTTATGATTAGTATGATAATTATTGTATATTGTCAATTCTGGTTCAACACTCTTTTGCACGATACAAATATGGTCGGCTACAGTCCAAGAATAGTCGAAAATGTAAAAGAAAATTGTGACACATTTATTATTATGACGCCTGTGTTTTTATGAATGATGTGTTCTCCAGTGTGCAGCCTATTGAAGAACACTACTACAGGCCTGGACCAGTAACTGTGGATGGTATGTTATATGTATGTACTTGTGTATATATGGTTGTAATATGCTGTTTAAATACTTAGTAATTGTAAAGTTTTGTATTCAGAGTTTGGAAAATGAATCTGAAGTTGAATATCTGGCCGATTTTCTACGTCTTGTGAGACTTGTTGATTTTTGGTATTTAAGGTTTGTGGCTAAATAAGTGACAGTAACTTCAGCCTTTCAATCTTTGGATATGAAGCAGTGGGGGCGGGTCCCGGCTCAAAAGTGGCCAAAATGACGTGCGCTGACATGCTCGCAATACCAAGACGAATAAATCTATTGTTGGTAGTTTGAGTGTGGAAACTGGATCAAATCTGTACCATAATTATCACAGTAGTGTTATTGGGCGAAACAGAAAGGGTGAGGCCCATGCAGAGGAGGGGGGGGGGGGGGGGGGGGGGGGGGCAGCTCCCAGGAGGACATACCTGTTTTGGGCTTCACCGGGGCCTTGGTGGTGACGGGCGGGGCTTTGGTGGTTGTGGCCTCGAAGAAGTCGGACAGGGAAAGGTCTGCAACAACAATATCCTTATATGACATCACTTCAGAGACACATCATGTAGTATTTGTTTTTATTGTAAGGGGTTGTATTTCTTGTTGTAGTTTTTGTGTATTTTTTATAACTTGTTTGCACCATGAGCCAAAGCAAGATCCGAGATTGTGACTTGTTACTTTCAACTGCAAAAAAACAAATCCTGATTCTGATTCTAATCTATGTATACAGTGTATGTTTAGTACCTGTACCTCCAGCCCCCCCTGCTGGAGCGGCTGGTACTGCAGGCTTGGGTGGAGGAGTCACTGTAACAGAAAAGAGGAGAATGAGCAAATTGTAAATACTATCTAATACTATAAAAAATTGTATCACACTGAACCATAGAGCAATGAGACGAGAAGATTCTGGTGGGTGCTATATGCAACTTTGTATTTGAAGAAAACTCGATATTTTGGTGTTTTTGATTTTGCAGACTCAGTAGTTAAATGAGTGGTCAGCATGGTGCCTTTACTTTCCCTCACTTTGGTCACTTGGATGCTAAAGGATCAATTGTTTGTAAGATTTTCTCGGATGATGGACCCCCACACCAGAAAATCTACAAATCAATTGACCCTGGAGCTCTGAAGACAAATACACACAAAAAATGATTTTTTCAGACCAAAATGCATATTGCGACTGAAAATAATGATAATACTGGGAGTGAATCATTTTGAAAAGTTTTTATATGGTACCATCTCATGAAGACTGTTGAATGGACCAAAATCACAAATGTTTTCTTTTTTTCAGTACTTGCCTACATCATCATCATCAGGACCAAGAGCGTCAGACAGGTCTAAATCCTGCGAGATCACTGCAAAAAAAATGGAAAAAGTTTAATTATTTTGTATACAATAATACATAAAAACATAATTCATTTTAATTGTGTCTTTCATGACACACTTAACAGGGACGCACAACCTGATGTCTAGTAACTGTTTTTTATTTATGATGATCCAGGACAAACAACATTCAACATTTATGCACATTATTTTTTTTTAATTTGTGTATTTGTTTCATTGTTTTTTTAATCGTATAACTTGTATTTTATCGTTTTTATCACATGTTTATAGTTAACTGGTATTTTATTGTTGTTGGTACATTTGTATTGTATTTCAATGTGTTGATTTTATCTCTGTGCAGCACTTTGGACATTTGTTTTATATACAGTAAGTCGATTGAATTGGATGGACATTTTTCTCAACATTTATGGTATTTTTCATCGGCCTCTTATGGACCAATGGCTCTGGGTGTTCTTTATCACTGCATTTCTTCTGTTTGAACTGTCTGATTCTCTGATCTGTATTGGCGAATTCAGCGATTTTGTAAAGTCCTCAGAGAAAACTACTGTTGTGATTTAGGGCTACACAAGAATACATTGAATCGACAGTTAAACAGTTAAAAGTTGATCCAGGACTCATAATCCAAACCTTTACCCTAATCCTAACCCTATAACCCAATGAAATATTGATCCCGGGCAAAAAAAAAAAAAAACAATAATCCAGATTTTTTTTTTTTCTTTTTTTTTTACACCATATTCTTCTATGTATTACTACTACATATTTACAATTATAAATACAGTAGAAATATACTATTATTAATACATATAGCATGGGGGTGTTCACTGCTGCATCCTGTAAAGTTCGAGAAATGTGTTTCACTGGTGGATGTAGCAATAGCAGTGAGACTATTGCTGCTGCTATCGCTCTAAGTAAGTAAGTAAAGTTTATTTGTTTAGCGCCTTTCACAGAGCAGCATCACAAAGCAAACTTCTCCTCTTTGGCAACCTGTGTGTGTGTGTTCTGTCTCTCACTGGAGGTTAAATGGTTTAAAAAGGGCCAAAAACAACGCGTTAATAAAATAACAGTGCCATTTTTGAACCAGCTATTATCAATCCCGCTCTAAATGACGCGTAGACAATCACGAAACACTAAAATTAAAAGGCGAAAGTGGTCATTGGAGCGTTCTGGCTGCGTCCCACTGCGAGATGAATCAAATGTTTTGTGTGTGCGAGAGTGGACCCCCGGCGCCCGTCCCACTGCCCTCACCAGAAAATAATCCTTTTGTTTGGGCTTGGGACTGTAGTGCGCATTATTGACATGAAAAGACACAAAAGCTGCGAGGAACAAAGCCCTCGCCTTCACTGGAAGCCACTCTGACATATGGCGAGTGAGAGCAACGCGCCGCTGCCAGTGCCTCAATGTTTTCACTGCCTTTCACCTCCTGTGACTGTGTGGGGAAAAAACTCGTTCAATTTTGTTTTCCAGTTGCAAGTGCTGTTTCTTTTTCCTAATGTTTTCCTTTTTGCTCTTACAAAGCAGCGATTCTAAAGAGTAGTGGTTGTGCAGAGAATATTAAACTATAAGCAAAATCTATTCAAACTACCACAAGAAAATAAGAACACATTAAAGCCATTAACATTCACTCCTTGAAGAAAGTAATGTGTGTTTTTTTCTTTAATGGATTTTCTAAGATGTAGGACACTAATAACTTTTTTTTTTTATTATAATTTTTTTGAACCCCTATTTTATTTTTCAAACGATAGGCCTCTACCAAATGATTGAGATGCAGTTTGATGGTATTGCCTAAAACCAAGTAAGAATCCCCAGAAAGGTAGATTTCAGTAGATTGACTCAAAAGGTGATCAATCAAATGGTCGAGGAGATCATTAAAAGGGTTAATATCAGTGGCTCTTGTATATTTTGTGACTTATAATAATGTTTGGTCACACTTTAGTTCCGAGCCTGAAGGTCGCTGGTTCGAGCCCACCACAGGACCTTCTCCACCGACTCCCACTAATGTCTGCTGTTGTTGTCAAGAATGAGTCTGGTGTGTGTGTGAATGGTTGATGGTGATCGGAGGGGCCGATGGCACAGACTGGTTGCCTCGCTTCTGTCAGTGTGCCCCAGGGCAGCTGTGGCTACAGTAGTAGTTTATCACCACCGTGAATGGAGTGAATGACGAATGTAAAGCATCTTTGAGTGTCCAAAAAAGCGCTATAAAAGCGATGGATTATTATGGTTAATTGGTATTCATACTGTGACAGTGGCTCAGTTGGTAGAGCACTGGCCTTTGGGCCTGAAGGTCCTGGGTTCGAGCCCACCATGAGACCTACTTCATGACTCCCATTGATGTGTGCTGTCCTTGTTTCCTTGGGCAAGACCCTTAACCCCACTTTGCCTGAAGCCCCCGCTGAAAGATCTCAGCTCCTGTGGACTCATCACCTGCAGGAGGATCAGTGAGGGGGCTGGTGCTCTGTGAACTGGGTGCAGCTCTGACTGCCACCCCCCTGACCCAGAAATGGATTAAGGGGAAGAAAATGGATGGATGGTATTTATGAAGCACTTATAAGTCCTTATTCTACATGGTCCTTCGGGCCTTCTCAGTCCTGGACCCAGACTCTGGAACAAGCTGCTTATATGCATGTTAAAAATGCAGATTTTTAAAAGCTTTTAAACTTTTTTGTTATTACATAAATGTTTTAATGGATTTAATGTGATTTTATTGTAAAGCACTTTGGTCGCCTTGAGTGTTGTAAAGAGCTCTATTAATAAAATGTGATTGAATTTGATTTATGAAGGCCTTTATTCAACTCTAACTGACACTTTCACATGTGGGCTAGGGCTAGCGTACACTAATTAGCACTTAATTAGCTGTTAATTAGTGATCACTAACTACCTAATGTATCAATGCGACAAGACAAAATAGTTTATTTAATCTATAGTAAGGGAATACAATAATTACAGCATCATCCCACAAAACCATTTTTTCTTTTACATTTTTGTCAGGCATTAATAATTGGATGATAAGTCAAACTAGTCATTATCGTGTCTATGTATTCTAAAAACAAACTGAACTCTTGCGACATATTTTTCTCATTTTTCTTAAAGTCACAACAGGACATATTGTGCCTGGAGCTGTGAACGGTCAGAGAGCGGTGGAGGAGCTGGGTGTGTCCGGCGTCGTCCTGTATCACCTCCACACAGGCATGACTCAGAATATTTAAATTATAGATTAACTATGGCTCTAATTAATGGCAGCCGGCTCACAACACGTCGCGAACGGTGTCATGGAACCTCAGGGCACGCCACAATATATACACGCATATGCAGCAGCTATCACCACATCACAGAGAAAATCTAAATATCGCCCATGCAAATATTACGTACTTTTAGCACATTCAATCCCAACCAAAACAAAAAATTAGATTATGATCGGGATAGAGCCGTCTCTCAATTAGCTTTGGTCATTTCTCCAGACTTGCTTCTTCACTATGGAGCTATAGATTTTATACTTACTTCTTTGCTTTATTATGCTAAAGATAGAGATTTTCTTTTTTTGTACAGATTTATTGTTCACTAATCTGTTGCTATGTACTCCTCATTCCTACTATTCTGTAACTGCTGATGCAACACTGGAATTTCCCCACAGTGGGATGTGTTTCAGTGTGTGTCCAGTCGCCTGTAACTGCATCTTGTCTGTATTCTCTCCTTTTATTCTCAAGATCACGTTTACAAATGAACCCACCTACATCAATTTCTTTCTTTCACTCAATAATTCTCAAAATGTTTTCTATAAAGCAGTGAAGAAGAAACAAGATGACAAAATGCAGACGAACCCGGACACAGGCCTCAAACCCAGTGATAGTGTGTTTTATTCAAACTGATTTAATCTAAGAAGCTCTGGCATTGTGAGATAAAGCAAAAGTAATATTCTCTCCATCTATCTCTCTCTCTATCTATCTCTCTCTCTGTCTCTCTCCCTCTGTCTCTCTCTCTCTCTGTGTGTCTTTCTCTCCTCTGTCTCTCTCTCTCTGTCTCTCTCTCGCTGTGTGTGTCTCTCTCTCTCTGTCTCTGTCTTTCTCTCTCTCTCCCTGTCTCTCCCTCTCCCTCTGTCTCTCTCTCTCTATCTGTCTTTGTCTCTGTCTCTCTCTCTGTCTTTCTCTCTCCGTCTCTCCCTCTGTCTCTGTGTCTCTCTGTCTCTCTCTCTCGTGTGTCTCTCTCTCTCTGTCTCTCTGTGTGTGTGTCTCTCTCTCTCTGTCTTTCTCTCTCTCTCTCCGTCTTTCTCTCTCTCTCCCTCTGTCTCTCTCTCTGTCTGTCTTTGTCTCTGTCTCTCTGTCTTTCTCTCTCTGTCTCTCCCTCTGTCTCTGTGTGTCTCTCCCTCTGTCTCTGTGTGTCTCTCTGTCTGTCTCTGTGTCTCTCTGTCTCTTTCTCTCTGTCTCTCTCTGTGTGTCTCTCTCTCTGTCTGTCTCTCTCTCTCTCACTCTGTGAGTCTCTCTCTCTCTGTGTCTCTGTCTCTCTCTGTGTGTGTGTCTCTCTCTCTGTATCTGTCTCTCTCTCTCTCTGTGTGTGTCTCTCTCTTGCTGTCTCTCTCTCTGTCTTTTTCTGTCTCTCTCTCTGTGTCTCTCTCCCTCTCTTCAACACAAACACACACACACACACACACACACACACACAAACGACTACTTACAACGACATTATGTCAGTAACCTCAATATCACAACCACTTCCTGGAGAAAGCTTTTTATAAGTTCAATGCAGACTAAAAGACAAGGCGTTTCTTTGTACAGCACAATTCATACACAAGGCAACTCAAAGTGCTGAACAAAACAAGATAGGGGCAGTCACACAAGGCATTAAAATCATGAAAAATCACGGTATACTATTAGTAAAGCCAAACCGTCTAATTCTAATCGTCTCTAGTTTAGTAGTTACTGTGCGAAACTAATCTATGCAGCCTGTGACCATTCACTTTGCTTTTATTTGTCTAACAGCACATGAATACAAAGTCCAGTGTCCTCTGACCCCTCTCTCTGCTTAATCCCCATTGGCTCGCCGGCTCAAAAGGCATTATTCCACTGCATTATTAATATTTAAGTTTATGTGGTGAGGAGATCAAGGTCTATCTATCTCTCTAGGTTTTTCCACCTTGCATTCTTTCATATTCTTTCCTTTTCTTTTCGGCCTCTGCGTCTGCCTTTTGTTCACCTGTCTGAGCAGATGCCTCCCCTGACTCCAGCCATCCACCATCTTACACATGGCTGCTATAGAGAGAGAGATGACATCAGGCGTTTCCCATCAGCGCGTGCGCGTGTGCGTGCATCCCACTCAGACTCTGTGGGCGGGTCCAGCATCACTTTGAGCTCCATCACTTCTGCAAGATTTTTTTTTTTTTTTTTACGGGAATTAAATTGAAATGAAAGCTTTTGTCCTATATTTGCTCAGGATAAGTGGGTAAAGATACATAGAGATATCACAGAGTATATAGAGCCAGTCTGGTTTTCAGGTGAGAGAATCAAAGCACATGGTCGCATTTCTCCCCAATAAAGAAAAGGAAAGAAGAAAAGCTCATGCGTAAAAAGTGAAAGGTGAAAATAAGCCGGGACTTTGTGTGAGGCTCCTGGGCGCGGGGTGTGGGCTGTGTGACCCAGGAGCCGCCAGGAGCCGCCCGGGGGCCCTGTAAGTGCAGCACAAAAGCCTAGACCATGTGGCGCAAGGTTCTGGAGGAGAGCACACGGGACAAAGGCTTACCTTGGAGCGGCAGCAGAAGAGCCAGCAGGGCCAGCAGCGCGCACACGGACGCGGTGGAGCGGGGGGACATGATCGCGGGTCCAGGCGCACTTTGAACGCACGGCAGCCGGTGGAATAACGGTCTCAGTTGCAGCGCTGGGAATAGTCACCGGCCGGTCCTGTGTCAGCTGCAGTCAAGGCGGTCACTGTGTGCGCCACGCCCACGCCGACTGCGCCTGTTCCGGAGGCTGCGACAAAATAACACACGCGTCCGAGAGAGTTTTACTTTGAAATGACCGACAGGACGTCAGCCTTCACAGCGGGTCAAGCATAGACTGTATATATTAAATACTTCACTCATTCTCATGATTTATTAATATTTACAGTCTATGATTCTCATACGATCTGAGAATTCTGCTAAACTTCTATCATGTATTGATACATGCCCTTTACATTTACAGATAACACCAAACATATAAATGTTTGGTGTTATCTGGTGGTTTTTGTTTTATTTGTGTTTGTCTTTTATATTTTTGTAAAATTATCGTTATTTGTATTTGAAGGCGCCTGTTTAGTTTGTACTGTGTTTGAATCTATAATAACACTTATTTTTATTTATTTTTAAACATGAACATGATTTTTTTTTTTTTTCATTTTTTTATTCATGGACGTAGGTCCTTCCTCTCCCTAAAGACCAAATGCTCCTTTATGTGTTTGTTATTATTGCATTTCCTGTCTTCGAACGGTTTAATCATTCTGATCTGTTGTTGGTGAACTTTTTTGTGGAATACGAAATGATTTCTAATCAGATGAATACAACATGTGGTCTTTTTGTTACTGTATTATTTATGATACAAAATACACAATTCTGTCAAACTATAAAGCTAAAATAAAAGTAAAGACACAAAGTGTTACATATGCATTAATTTTCCTGCAGGATGGTCGCCTCTACACAGATCTGACTTGGCCTCCCCATTTAAAAAAAAAATGTTTTCTTTAATCAGTTGCTGTCCTAATTGCTCGGTGCTTTCGTTGCCACCAGTAAAAACATTCTCCATGTGACTGAGTCTGCCCCGTTGTGGTGGGCGCGGCTCCAGCAGCAGCAGCAGCAGACGCAGACGCGCACTCGGCTGTGGATCAGACGCTCTGAGCGTGAAGAGCGTGAAGAGCGTGAAGAGAGGGGACATGGGAGACAAAACAGGCACCAGGTGAGCCCCTCACCTCCATCTATCTCCGCATGAGACACTCAACACACCTACATTTTACTCTCATCACGTGTTTTCAGTCTTGGGAGATTTCTCGAAAGCAAAAACACATATGGGTCTTATGCAACAGGATGTTTATGGTAGATACAAGATAAACAGCGAAAGTTCTCAGTCTCATACAAGTGCACAGCAGGAAACGTGACTGACAATCATTCCTTTAGGCTGCTGTATTATTTTTAACCCCGCGTTTACATAGAAGCAGCGTGTGGGTTTAACAGTGAAGAAATGCAGTCTGAGGTTCTATTCATAAATTACCAACAGATCTGCTCTTCGTCAACTTTGACTTCACAAACACAACATGACTATAGACTGAGGAGCGGTGCTTTGGTGACTGATACTCACACTGGTGCTTACAGTTTTTTCCACACTGTCACAAAGTGCTGAAGCAGAGTTTCTGTTGACCTGCTTTTAAGGAAGTGGGGGACCTCTTTGCTCTCTGCCCGGATGTATCACGCAGATATTCCTTCAAAAATCCAAAGTGGCACATTCTTCTGCCTGCTCTGTCACCTGACGTCCAAGGGTCAAAAGTAAAATTAAAATTGGACTAGTGGGTACCAACTATTTGCACCATACATAAACATGACACATTTTTGGCTTGGAAAATCAACATATTCACATATTCACACAGTAAGGGTGCATGGGAAAGGGCAAAAATGTGACGGTTTGAAATTATCACAATATTTTTCCGATTCTTAACATATTGCTGAAGTATTGCGATTTGAATCTGCGATATTTAGCGATTCATGTCCCTCATAGTATTCAGGCTCCACTCAACCGTCACATTTGATATAGTCTGCACGTAGAAGGACAACGTAGAAGGTTGTGATTAAGCCATTTTCTTTCTTTTTTCTTTTATTTATTTCAAAGGTGCAGGTGTACACAAACATGAAAACACAAATACAAAGTGAGCTTAGTTTGAAAGGGGGAGGATGGAAGCTTTTCATTTGATCTTACTGTTAAATAATTGCACCAAAAACATGTACATTTCTCCACTGTGAGATCAAGAAAGTTTATCTTATTTTATCTTAAAAACAAAGCACCAAAATATTGCAATACTGAACAGAATGATTTTTTCCCCCTCGACAATTTCACAACACCTCACGTTGGTATCGCCTTTTTTGCATACATGGCCAACAAGTTGCTAATCCAACCCTAATGTAACCCTGTATACTGAGAACTTTATAGCACTTCATCAATTTTAATGTATTCTCGTACCGCCCTACATCACAACAGCAGTTATCTTCGAGGACTTTACAAAACCGCCCAATTATCCGAGACAGATCAGATAATCAAACCGTGCAAACACAAGAAATGCAATAATAACAAACACACAGAGCCATCGGTCCATACGCGACAGACGACAGATGTCCATAAATAAACGTTATTGTATGTCGAGCTGTTTTCTATCCCGCCACTATCTCACGCCAAATATGTGCTCTCCTCTCCGTGCCATCAGCGCAACATAGCAGCGCTTACAGACTGCTTGCCCCTCTCCCATTGTGTGCACAGGAGCTTAACCAGTGCGTTTGACATTTGTCTTGTCTCCCTGAACACACACAGCCAAAGCCATTAACACTGTGGAATATTACGGCTCAGATGAACTCAGGCTTCTCCTACGAGGGTTTTTTAATGTGCGTTTTAATTGTCCACTTTTCCTGGAATCTCTGAGCCCATTTCCTGTGTAGCTTTGTGAAGCCACTTTGGACTTTCTGCTTTGCTTCACGCCTTGCTGGCTGTTGAGACGTTATATATTTGTAGGGATTTTAGGATGATAATTGTGCCGAAAAATGACCAGTGCATCCACAATATAGACCCAATTATAAGAATTAAATTATCTGCTTCTTTCTGGTATGAAGAATTGAAAAAAGATTGTGTATTGTACAAAAATGGGTAATTTTTTTCCTTGTTGTGTTTTTCAGGGTCTTTAAAAAGTCCAGCCCAAACAGCAAGGTATGTGTGCCGTCGTTTTAGCTTGAATTTTCTGTGTTCCGATTTGAAATGCAGTATTTTGTTTTCAGCTGACAGTATATCTTGGGAAGAGGGATTTTGTCGACCACCTGGACCATGTAGACCCAGTAGGTAAGTCCCAATCAGACGCAATCTCAAACTCCTCCATTTTTTTAAAAATTATTTTGATATGGACAAACCAGAGCTGCGTATTGGTTCATGGGGAGCAAATGTTAAATGTCCCGGATCCCAGCGTTGGTCTATAAACGTAGGTTTCCTCTGGGTGCTCCGGTTTCCCCTTAAAAGATTTACATTACTCTAGTCCTGACCAAGTGGAGAATCAACATCGGGGGATGGAATCCAATGGGTCAAATGCAGAAGACAAACGTTCCTATGGGGACTTTAAAGTATAACTATGAAAACTAGGGACTTTCTATACACAAGTGACTATAAAAAACATTTTAAGTTTGTATATGAGAACAATGAAACAAGTCAAAAAGGTCAATAATTCAATAATATTAGATTTGCATTCACTCATAATTTGCCGGAAGGTTTTGTTACGCTCAATTTTGTTTTTGAACATTTAACGAGATAATTTAATGAGTGAATCCATACAGGCTAAACACAAAACAAAACATTCAGCTGTGATTTTGTTTTTTTCCCTAAGGCTTTGTGGAAAACCTGGACAGAGTGATCTTGTTCTTGTACTAAAAGCATGTTCCCAGAGTCATCAGAGGTTAACAGCGAGTACAGAAGTAGCAGCGGATGTCATTATAGTAATCGGTCACTTGTGATGCCAGGCAGCCTCATGTACTCTCTCATCTGACAACGCCACACGCTGCATATTCTCCTTATCATCAGGAGCGCTGATTGTTCTCCTGCGGGGAAAGTATCCGTCACATGTTTCTGTCACACCGCCAGAAAGAAAGGGAAAAGTCAAGTCGCTTTCTTTTCACTATTGACAAACTGTTACACAACTGATTTTTTGTCTCCTGTGACTGTTGAGACGAGACAGAAAAGTTGAGATGAACCTGGAAGGATGAGAAAAAACCCTAGAATGACATTTGCGACATACTGTCTTTAATTTTGACGAGAATTGGGTCTATTTTAATGTTTTATGTTTATTTATGTATAGAAATTTTTTTATTTTGCTTTTTTTATTGCTTTTATTTAAAGTAGCAATATGTAAGATCTTCATATCAAGTCATCATTAAAGGGCCCTAATCCGTCAAAAGGCAATAATAAAACATGCTCTTTTCCAATAATTCTTTAGCTGATATCAGTAGTTCAGAGATATTTGGATTTCAATATTAGTTTTACAGCCCCTAAATCTTGTTACTGTTCTCATTTTGATGTCCCGCCCTCCACTGTTTTGTCCGTGATCCGGGTTGCCAGAAATCACCATGTCGAGCTCATCTAACATGTGGCCGCAGAATTAAAAAAGGTCTCGTTATGATTCTCAAATCGAAAATGAAAAAATGAGTTGTCGGTTACAGATTTGTTGTTGACAAAACTCCTGTCTATCCAGATCATACACTGTATACTGTATATTAACCGACGTAGTCACGCCTATCTCCGCCGTTCTAACTAATGGGCCAAAAAATTGGCTTTCATGGAGTGATTAAAAATGGCCGCGGGGGCTGAAAAATGTGAAAAAATGCATCTGCGCATGCGTCAGCCGGCACAAGCTCCATTCATTTAAACAAGTGACTTCAAAAATTCACAGCAAGTAAACTAGAGTGGTACAAAAAAATTCACCCCCCTCAGCATTGACACACATGTGGAACAGAGCTTTGGGCCAAGAGCCAACTTTTGGATCATCCTGTAAAGACGTTTTCGAGAGGTAAGCAGATGCTATATGTTAGCATTGGCTAATTCTTATTCCGGGTCCACCCCCATCGGCCCGGGGTGGTATCGCAAGCATGTCAGCGGATCATTTTGGCCTCTTTTGAGCCGGGACCCGCCCCCACTGATTCAGATATTATGGACCCAGATGGATTCATCTGCATATCTGGCAACCTGAGTCAGGGAGAGTGGGAGAGGTTGCAGTACCACTTTTGGCCAGATCTTCACACACTGCTCCTTTAAACTTTAAAGCTGACAGACTTTTATATTTAAATTTGTTACTTTTATCTGTGCGGCACTTGGATTGGACATTATACTTTTGCAAGACTATTTATGTAGGAACATAAGTTAGATACCCCAGTTTAAGTTTGGTTTAAATTAAATACTGAAAGATTTGAGAGTTCTTGTCTTGAATTAAAGGAAGCCGAAACCATAGATCTCAAAATAGAAATTAAATATCAAAGCAAGAGGACCTAACCTTTTTTTAATTTCATGTTTACATTTTGTTTGTCCCAATAAAAAAAAAAAAATTTTGTATCAAACAACATTGCACCATTTACAAACTGAGTAAGGGTGGTCCTCTCCTGTGACAGAGACCAAAATCACCTGCATTAAAAAATGACGAAAAAGGACCACATAGTCATTTTTTGTGATTTTAAAGTTTGGTACTCCATCTTTAATGAATATTATTGCATATATTTTCAGATGGAGTCGTGCTTGTAGACCCAGAGTACCTCAAAGACCGTAAAGGTAAGTCCATCTCAATCTTAAGCCACACCAGGCACAGAAGTTAGTGATTATTTCAATATCTCGTAGAGCAGAGTAAAACAAACATGATACAGACGTTTGAAAAATACAGTTTGAAAAAGAGTCGGAAGAAGCAAGAACTTATTGGGCTCCAACTCCCCTTATTCCCACAATACAAACACACACACACCCACGCACACACACATACACGTACACACAAAGACACATACAGAAACACAGACACACAGAAACAAACACACAGAGAAACACACACAGACAAACATACACGCACACACAGACACACACACACACACACAAAAATACAGACACACATACACACAAACACACACACACAGACACACACACACATACAAACACACACAGACACAAACAAACACACACACACACACACAGATCCACACAGACACACAAACACACACCTTCCTTCTTCCATGTATTTCTCCAGTACTTTTTTGAACTGAATCATATTTGATGTTCTTAAATCCTCTGATAATAAGCCTGATCGTTGCCATTACTGCTGTGGCTCTAGTGTTCGTGAGCCTGACCTGTGCGTTCCGGTACGGCCGCGAGGATCTGGACGTCCTGGGACTGTCTTTCCGTAAGGTCCTCTTCAGCAGCACAGTCCAGGTGTTCCCGGCCCCCGCCCCGTCCCAGCAGAGCCTCAGCCCCCTGCAGGACAAGCTGCTCAAGAAACTGGGACAACATGCCAACGTCTTTGACTTCACGGTAACGTCCCACACGCTACAACTGTCCCTCTGGATTTGAGCTCAAAATGGATTTAAAGGAGTCGTATGGTGCAAATTTTTTTTTTTTTTGAGGTTTTGACCATTGTTCCTGGCCTGGAGTCGTGTTTTTAGATCCGTTCCCACTAATATCTGTGTTGGCGAATCAACAGTTTTGTAAAGCCCTCTGAGATAACTACAGGAGCTTCTGGCACACACATGTAGCTCCGCCCCTTCTGTCTGAAAACTCCTGTCTCAGTCCTGTATAGTATAATGCCTATGTGTCACTATGGCATCACACTCTGCCTTTTAAAACTAAATTATTGCTCATACATTTTTACAAATGCAAGTCATTTTCAATTTGGGACAAAAACAAAAACATCTCCCCCTCCCTCTGGTGGCAGCACAGGGAGTTACAGGCAGAAAGCATTTTTTGTGACCCTTCATACTCACTATATGTATTTCTATTTGTGGCCCCCACCTGCAAAAGCCAGATCCTGTCAGACCTCTGCAGCTAAGCAGGGAAAGGCCTGGTTAGTGCTGTGATGGGAGACCTTTGGGAACACCAGGTGCCAGAGTGGGGCGGCTGTAAAGTGTTAAACTGTCCCTGTGTCCTTAGGCAAGACACTTCACCCACATTGCCTAGAATGAGTCTGGTGTGTGTGTGAATGGTTGGTAGTGGTCAGAGGAGACATTGGCACATATGGGTTGTCTCGCTTCTGTCAGTGTGTCCCAGGGCAGCTGTGGCTACAGTAGTAGTTGATGCATTACTATACAGTATTTCACAATCTAAAACATGACATGACAAAGTAAATAGTCAATTATCATTTTCATGGCCAAAAGGTTAAGATCATATTTCTTCTATAAATATGAATTTGTACAGATACTTCTGTACAAACTGCAAAACAGATAACCCCCTCATTTATGAACTCAACATTTATGAACTGGAGTCAGAAGAGAGAAGTGTGAAGGGATTAGCCAAACGTGTATAAATCAATCATAGAGAAACGTTGTCAAAGATAATGACATGGAGGATTATAATGTGAAAAATCTTCCTCTAATCTCCTCTATATGGCGGGTTTATTCGCATCGCACACAGACTGCATCATCACTCTAACATGGAGGTAAACAGTTGAAGTGTTCTTTGTTCTTTCCCATCAAAGGGTCGTAATATCTGTAATGATCTTATTGCACAGGGAAATATTGTGGCTGTATTGAACTCATCCATCATCTCCCACGTCTGGGACCTTTCTGCATTTATTGAACTCATCTGTTTGAGTCAAAAAAAAGGTTTTATGTCTCTGTACAAACATTTCAACAGGATTTGTGTGTTATTCAGAACAAGCTCCCCATTTACCCTAACTAACCCATGTAAGAGTCAAGATTCAAGCATTTATTTGCTGTTTGCAGTAAAACCACATTAGAAAAACTGTGCAAGACTACCCCACTGTGCACCAGAACACCTTTATACATGACAGTACAGATGCAGATTTAGGCTGCGGTCACATTCACAGCCTAAAGCCCGGTTAAAGTGTGCCTGGGCCCACTTCGCGATTAGATCCGGGCTTTAGGTGCTATGTGACCGCAGCAACTGTGCTTGGGCACGATTGTTGCAAGCGGGCCTGAGCACGGTTGAGAGAGGTGGGCTAGAGCCCGCTTTTGTGTAGCCCAGATGAGGGGGGTCAGTGTGGCGGGTGGTGGGGAGTGGAGGATGAGGTGTGGTGGGGACTTGATATTGTGCGTCACATTACGTCTTCTGTTGTGACGGGCATTTTCACCCACGTCTCTCCTGCACTTTTGTTTTCTCCACTTGTGTTAAACCTTTCATATACGTAAGCCCCCGGACCGTGGTTAAGGGGCGCGGGGGAGTGTGTCGCTCCAGGGCCAAAGAAAAGCGTTTCCTACGGGTATAACTCCCTCTGTTCTGACCCTCGCTTTACAGAGCATTAAAGATTACAAAAACACACACACACACACACATATATAATAATAATAATGGTGCTATTGCAATTTTACTTTAGACATTCAAGAATCAGTCTTTATTTTATCGCCAGAACACACATGTATCCTGCCTGTCTCCGGTCACTCTGATCGTACGCCGAACTTTTCATTCTTTCATTCTCATTAATTCATTTCTCCGGGCTCTTATGCTCGTTACTAAAGAGTGGGACATGGGTGTAAGCCACACCCATGTCCGCGGCGCACGCACACACACACACACACACACACACACACACATACACACACATGTTAACCACTGAACTGCTGCACTTTGCATCAGAGCAATGTGGACAAGTGTGAGATGTGTCTTTCCTCGAGTTGTTAGCGCTACAGTAGCAGAATGTAAACAAAAAGAGAAATGGGAACTTAACTCTTGGCAACGAGGTCACGGAGCATTGGACTACAGCGCATTTGGTCTGGCACGCTTGAGAGAATAAACCCTTGTGAGATTAATTCATTCAGATTCATTTATTTGCCATTTGCAGAAAAACCGCATTGGAATACTTCTGCAAAAGGACATTCTTAATGTACTCCTACACATACATATAGTCTTTCTGTCATGTATGCACGTATTTGCCGCTGTTGTTGTGTCCTCGGGCAAGTTACTTTAGATTGGATCGGTGAATGTAATGGATGACAAGACAATAGTGAGATTGGATCATTACCTGATGTCTGGCTTAAAAACGATAAAAACGTAATTAGCACAGCATGAAGCTAATATGAATTCTAACACTTACTATGAAGGATTGCTCTTAGGTAAATGGGAGTTTAGAGAGAACCGTAGCAGTAAGGTCTCAGGTTTGACTTCTGTGCTGGTGGACACAGAAAAGCCAGAGGTTCGATTCCACTTCTAGACGAGGCATTTCTGTGTGGAGTTTGCATGTTCATCCCATGTCTGTGTAGGTTTCCTCAGGGTGCTCCGGGTTTCCCCTACCACTAAAAACATCTGCAATAGGTCTGAATGCAATGAGATGATGATGGTTAGAGGTCCGATGCAACAGTGTGTTCGGCGTCTCGCTTTTGTCGGTCCATAAATCATTGTGAAGCGCTTTGTGTGGCCTTGGTCCATGAAATTATTGCTGAAAAGACAAGATTTACAGTGTTATTGTAAATACTGCACTATATTTATGTGACCTGAATACCATGTATGTAAAGTATGCATCTAATTTCTCACGGTTACCTGGATTATTAACATATTTCACCAACATTATACTGATTTCATTATAATTTGGTCTTGGTTTTTTTGTCATTTCAATTCAATGTATTTTTGTATTGCCCTAAATCACAACAGTAGTTAAAGGAGCTGTATGTAAAAATCTGGCCAAAAGTGGTACTGCAGCCTCTCCCACTCTCCCTGACTCAGGTTGCCAGATATGCAGACGAATCCAGCTGGGATCATAATAGCAGAATAGCAGAATAGCAACGAATCTAAAACCAACATCCTTTTCACAAAGACCCCAATAGAAGTCCTCGTTTTAATCCTTGTTTTGTTTTTAATGATTTGAGAATTATAACGAGACCTTTTTTAGTTCTGCGCCACATGGTACATTACCAGTGAGATTAGCTCGACGCTGCAAGTTCTGGCAACCCGGATCACGGACTTTCTGATTGGCAAAACATCGAAATAAAAATAATAACAAGATTTAGGGGCTGTAAAACAAATTTTGAAATCCAAATAACTCTGAACTAGTGTTATCAGTTAAAGAAGTAAAAAAATAGCATGTTTTATTGATGCCTTTGGACAGATTATGGCCATTTAATGATGACTTGCCATCGGCCCATACGCGACAGACAACCAATCTTACATATTGCTACTTTGAATGTTGGTAATATCCATAAACGTTGATAAAGTCCATAAATGATGATAAAGTCCATTATCATCCATCACCCTCAGATCCCTCAGAACCTGCCGTGCTCCGTGACGCTGCAGCCAGGCCCGGAGGACACGGGGAAGGCCTGTGGAGTGGACTACGAGCTGCAGGCGTTCTGTGCCAAGACCGCGGACGAGAAGATCCACCAGCGGAACTCTGTGCACCTCCTGATCCGGAAGGTGCAGTACGCCCCAGAGACCCCCGGCCCCCAGCCCATGGTGGAGACCAGCCGCAACTTCCTCATGTCAGAAAGGTCCATGCATCTGGAGGCCTCACTGGACAAAGAGGTGAGACCAGAGAGAGAGACCAGAGAGAGAGACAAGAGAGAGAGACAAGAGAGAGAGACAAGAGAGAGAGACTAGAGAGAGAGAGCAGAGAGAGATCATAGAGAGTAAGTAAGTAATCTTTATTTATATATTATTATTCATATATATACCGTCTTTCACAAACCACAGTCACAAAGCGGTTTACAATTGTTATTTTGAGAGAGAGACCAGAGAGAGAGAGACCCGAGAGAGACCAGATAGAGACCAGAGAGAGACCAGATAGAGACCAGATAGAGACCAGAGAGAGAGACCAGAGAGAGAGACCCGAGAGAGACCAGATAGAGACCAGATAGAGACCAGAGAGAGACCAGATAGAGACTAGAAAGAGACCAGGGAGAGATCAGAGAGAGACCAGAGAGAGACCAGAGAGAGAGACCAGATTTAGACTAGAGAGATACCAGATAGAGACCAGAGAGACCAGAGAGAGAGACCATATTTAGATCAGAGAGAGACCAGAGAGAGACCAGAGAGAGGCCAGAGAGAGAGACCAGAGAGAGAGACCAGAGAGAGAGACCAGAAAGAGACCAGCTAAAGACCAGATAGACACCAGAGGGAGAGTCTTCTGAACTCATCCTCTTTTCCGTGCACAAAAGCCACAAACGTTTTCTTCTGACTTTAAGTAAAGGTCAACTTTCATGTTTTGTGAGCGGTTTTATGAAGTGTTTTATGGTTTTGTAGACGCACACACACAAACATCGTCGACAGAGCGAGGTTTCCAAATGTGAACCATGTTTTAGTGAGAGACCCCTGTGAACACAACTCTATACTTGAAAAATAGAATACATTTTTAATCTGTCTTTATACATCTATATAATCAAGTGCAAGAAGATAATAAATAATAAATGATAAATAATTCAACATTTGATTTTAAGAACTGAAGTATACATCTTTTGATAAATCTATAGTAGGCAAGGCAAGGCAAGTTTATTTGTTTAGCACAATTCATACACAATTCATGAACAAAACAAGATAGAGAAAGTCACACAAGGCTTCAAAATCATAAATTATACATTAAAAAGAAAAGTAAAAATTTAAAATCCCTCAGTTGTATGCACAGCTAAAGAGAACTGTTTTTAACCTATATTTTTAAGAATATTTTAGTCAACCTCATGAAAAACAATCCATGTTATGTCAGACAGAAATTGTGTAATGGTTAATTTCCTGTTGTGTTTGTGTAACTACTACTGACTAACTTCTTTTGGCAGTTATATTATCACGGAGAGCCGATAAACATCAATGTCCACGTCACCAACAACTCAACCAAAACAGTCAAGAAGATTAAAGTCTCTGGTAAAAGATTCAGACAAAAAGACGAAGCGCAAATGCACAATGCACTGAAATGTTTTTGTGATGTTACAGTTCGACAGTTTGCCGACATCTGTCTCTTCTCCACGGCGCAGTACATGTGTCCTGTGGCCACGGTGGAAGCAGAGTGAGTATGAGGACTGTAGGGAAGCAACATCTGGGTTAAGAACATATATCTGTCTTTTATTCAGTGTGTTTTCTGATTGTTGAAAAAAGAATCTTGACATTTGAAATACATTACAGCATTTTATTATAAGTGGGGCTTCGTCTCCATGGATACATCATCTTCTCGGTCTCGGAGTTAGACCACTTTGAAGAGGCTTTAGTTCATGTTTTTTTAATATGTATATTTTACCACATTTGAGGCTTTACTTTCCTTCACTGTGGTCTCCAAGTTTCTATAGGTTCAAGTGTTTGGAAGCTTTTCTCTGCTGTGAGACCCCTTGCACTAGAAAATCTACAAAACAACCGATCCTGGTTCCTGTGAAAGTTTCCTCCGGGTGCTCCAGTTGATTGAAGAACGAATGAGAGAGTGAATGGTCGGTGTTTGGAGTCTGGCTTCCGTCATCACCGTGTGTGGAGTGAATGAAAATGACTGGTACACCAACATTGTGTACACATTACTTAAAGATGCAGTCAGTGACATTTTTTAAAATATTGTGGAAAAACGTCCCTAAACCTTAAAATTAGTCAAGTTATCATGTGTTTTCAAATAGTAATGGAATTGACCAGATGCCTATAGTCTCCAAAAATCGACCACAAATATTTTGGAGCGGACCGATAAAAAATACCAATGGGATTCGTTCATCCCCAACGAACCAATGGGATGCGTTTACCCCCTTCACCCTCTTCCTGTTTACTCGCGAGTGCACCTGAGTTATCGGATTTTTTAAAAACCTAAAAGGGCTGAACAGAAAAGGCCAATTTCACGTTTGCCACCCACTCTCCCTGTTGTGACAAAGAAAAGAAAATGCTGGATGTTTGGTTTGGTGGAGAGGCGAGGGGAGGGGGGAGTGGTTTCCAGATGGTGCTACGGCTAAGCTAACAAAATCGCTTACCGCACCTTTAAATGTGTAATCTTATTATTATACTGTATATGTGTGTGTGTGTGTGTTTTTGTAATCTTTAATGCTCTGTAAATTGTTTTGTATCTCTGTATTTATGTTTAGGACCCCCTCGAAAATGAGATGATTAATCCCAAGGGGCTTTCCTTAAATAAACTTAAATACACTTTATAGATAAAGATTACAGAAAACTCTATAAATACAGCGATACTCAACCGTTTAAACGTAGTGTAATTTGTTCTTGTTAAGCGATGTAGCATGATGATTTGTTGTTATATTATTATTATTATTGTTGCGTGACACCTGTGTGCAGGGACCAGGTGAGTCCCAGCTCCACCCTGTGTAAGATCTACACCCTGACTCCAGTGTTGGGGCCAAACAGAGAGAAGAGAGGCCTTGCTCTGGACGGAAAACTCAAACACGAAGACACCAACCTGGCCTCCAGCACAATGTACGATCTATTGATATTGGCGCGGCTGATCAAATAATATAAAACGTCATATTTTGCATTACAACTTCTGTTTCAAGCAAATGTCCCTAAAGTGTGTAAATGTGTTGCAGATTGAAGGAGGCGTCGGATAAGGAGACTATGGGAATCCTAGTGTCCTACAAAGTCCGCGTCAAAGCCGTGGTGTCCCTGGGAGCGTGAGTGACCCTGATTTATTGTGTGTGTTTGGGCTGCGGCAGTAAAACAGATAATCTCTACATTCAATTATCATATGTTTTGAATAAACTAGCTCTACTTACCCTGTATATCAACTGTACAAGCTACATTTGTGTATTGAATAGCACATTTGACCACATATAGGTCACACATGAATATAAGCCACAGATTGTTTGTGTTGTGATGTGACACGTTTTTTTACGCACAATTGACTTTCCAATCCAATCCAATTCAATCTACCTTATTTGTATTGGCTGCTTTATATGTGCTGCACAACGGTAAAGTATATAGCTGTATATGTAGTGTGAATGTATATGTACTGAGCTTCGTAGATAACAGGGCCATGACCCCGCTGTGGTGGCACCAGGCGGCAGGACTGACTGCCTGAGGGCTCTGGAGGTGTGAATGTGGATGAATGTGATGTGATGTGATCGGGACCTCTTCCTGTAGGCAACACTCTTCTAGGAGCAGATGGTTTACAGCTATAGATAGATAGATAGTTATAGTTATGGATAGATATGGATAGAGGTGGGGATAGAGACAGATAGATAGAAACTACACAATTAACTCTGAGGAGGCAAACATTAACTGTCATATTTATCAATCTATTTTGACAAAAACGTGTGTCCTATAGCTTTTAAAATTGAAAATCATATGCCATGATCGTTATTTATGTTTTATTGATTGCATGTTAATGATTTTCCATTAGGGACGTGGCAGTGGAGCTTCCGTTTGTTCTGATGCATCCCAAGCCCAAAGAAGAGAAGGACACTCCTCCACAGCCCGGTAATTCACACGCTCAAAGCATAACTTGACAATAATAATGTGAATAATAACAAAGGAATAGGAATGATTTGTGTTTTGTTGTTGCTTCAGAGACGGGCCTCCTCGTGGATACAAACCTGATCGAGCTGGAGACTAAGTAAGTGCCGCCTGGTAATTCTGGCTCTTCTGATCAATATGAATCAGTCGCTGCAGCAGGGATTTAGACAGGCTTTACACAATTCACTTATTGTGATTGGAGTGCAGTGAAACAAGGAAAGCTCCCGAAGTTACTCAATAGGAGAGCCGAAGTGTTGGTGAAAGCTTTGGTGTGAATAATCTCCATCTATTCAAACCATGTTTTGAAGAATTTTGCTATGAAGTTTTTGAATAGATTTTTATAGTGTTTTTTGACACATACAATCAAAAGGACATCTTGTTTTTTTAGTAAGTAAAAAATCTCACTTTGCTTTGGTGACATGTGTAGACATAAAGATTAAATGACTAATAATATCATATGTCAAAAGGAATTAATAAACCATACTTCTTTAACTGATCACAGTAGCTCAGAGATATTTGAATTTACAAATGTGGTTTATTGTCCCTGAATCTTGTTGTTTTCATTTCGATGTTCCGCCCTCCACCGTTTTTACCAATCAGAAAGTCCGCGATCCGGGTTGCCAGATCTCACCGTGCCAAGCTAATCTCACTGGTAAAGTACCATGTGCTTGCAGAACTAAAAAAGGTCTCATTATGATTCTCAAATCATTCATAACAAAGCCATGAATAAAACGAGTATTTATATCAGGGCCTTTGTGAAAAAAGTGTTGGTTATAGATTTGTTGTTGAAAAAACTCTTCTCTATGTAATTAGTATGGTCCCAGCTGGATTCGTCTGCATATCTGGAAACCTGAGTCAGGGAGCGAGAGAGGTTGCAGTACCACTTTTGGCCAGATTTTGTACATACGGCTCCTTTAATAATAGCAATAACAACGAACCTTGTAGTCTCATTTTCATACATGGATCATGTAAAAATATCAAAAAACATTCTTAAAAGCTTCCTTTCGCTACGTTATGTGTGAGTGTGTGTGTGTGTATATATATATATATATATAATTATTAATATCAGTAAAAAAGAAACACATTCCTTCTCTTCCCAGCAGCACAACGTCTCAGGTGGACGACTTGGTGTTTGAAGACTTTGCTCGTCTGCAGCTCAGTGATATGAACCACAAAGAAGAGGACCCGTTCTGTTAGCTTCAAACCACGACTGAGGAGCACTTTTATACACGCTGTAATATAGTCTGTAATCATTTGAGGAAAACATTTATAGAGGCCTTAACACATGCGCTATACAATTACTAGTGGAGATTGTATGTTTGATAGTGTCCTGTGTGGTCAAGTACATTTTAAGTAGCAGATCATTTTAATATGTATAAAATATTATAAATACCACAAGTTGGCCTCTATGGAAATAAATACATCCACTATAAATGTATATTATCAAGATGAATAGTGAAGATTGGTCAAATGTATTCTTCACACAGAAACAAGTGTGCTGTTGGCCGTTATTATAAAAAATAGAGGAAGAGAAAAGACATTATTGGTATTTGCAAAATCTAAGGGAATGATGAATAAACTACAAATACAAAAATACTACTGTGCTGCATTTAGCCTTATATAAATGTGTAATAAATGTGTTGAATTGTAATAGATATGCCTTTCTATTATTTCAGTTTGTTATAAATCCATCCCACTCTTCTTTTATTTGAAATCACAAAATGCAGAAGACAAACTTATTTGCAGAGTGTGTTGAAAATGTTTTTATAAGTAACAATAACTAACTCACTTGGTAATCAAAAAAACAAATTTCCAAATTCAAACTGTACAACATTTCAACCCCTGCCCACATGTCCTTGTACCTCTGGAAGTATGACCTGCCAGAGGAGTGAATGTCCAGTATTATAAAGGCTGCTGCTGCTGCTGCTGCTCAAGCATGACCTCACAGGTGCGTCCCAGTTCTCCCAGTTTGACCTTTGCATACTCCGCTCTATTCAAGGCCATCTGACAGTCCTTCCGGGCCGAGTATGTAGAGCCCTCATGAGGTTGGCCAGTAGCCACCTGTAAAACAACACAAAACACAAGTGGACATATAACTATCTATTGATTACACTATCTATCACTTCATGTCAGTCACGTTGTTAAGTATAATTGTCTGGTTGATATAGTCATAGAAAGTATACAGTAATTGTTCAAAAAAGTATTTGACCTGTGTGAGATATCGAATCTGCCCACTCAGTTCACTCTCCACCCGATTGACAGAGGTCTGAAACTGCAGTAACTGTCGATCCAAAAAGCTGGCGTTGTGTTTGTCTTTGGAGAGCTCCAGTACAATGTTACCTGCAGTAATACAATCAAATAATCAGTATACAGGCAGCCATGCATTTGAATGTAAATGAATGTATTCTTATCATTTTATCATTTGCATTTTATATGCAAAAATAGAAAACTCAGTTGGTCAAAATGTGTTAACAAATTGTATTCCTATCTTCATATCCTATTGTAGTGCTATCTTCAACATGTTTTGTTATGCGCAGTACTCTTGCAAGATTTTTTTTCAAGAAGTGAAGAAACGATTAGGTAAAGGGGGAATTGTAAGGTTTTCAAATGTTTAGTCTAATGACACTAATCAGTTTTTGCAAAAGAACTAATCTTATACCGGATATCTGTAGGCAGAGGCTGCTGTCTCACCTGCACACTGTAGGGTCATGGCGATCTCCTTCTCCACCTCTTCCAGAGCCCTGAGTCGCTCGTTAGCCATTGGAAACCGGGTTCGCTCTAAATAAAGATATAAATGGTTTCACATCAGTAAGAGTGGATAAAGACTTGAATGACACGTTACACAGCCTCCACCTCCTCAACACAAACAACAGAGTGCTATGCATAGATCCATGGTGCTATGTTCTGAACAGGTCGCAGAGAGATGACGTATGAACTGTGCGACGTAGCGGCGCAGAGTAAAGATGGCTGCATCGTCCTGGCTGCATGGCCCTTCTGCGATGCGTCTTATAGAGGGTTTGGTGTCGGTTCTGAAGGAACAGCGTCCAGAGTTTTTACCGAGCCTGTTGTCCAGCTTCAGGGAGCACGGTGTGTTCCCCACGCAGGTGAGAGAGCTCACACCGCGGCGCTAGCTCCGCATGGCTCCGGAGCCCACAGCTGCACCTGGGAATGGATGGACAGCTTTGTTGTGCTGCACATCTGGAGAGCTGAAGTCGGCTCTTTATTCATGTGTGACATGTTCATATATTTATTCACCTGAAGTGCATAAACCAGAGATTTCTTTTCACAGGGTGCGAATGCTGTTGGAGGTCTCGTAGGCTTTAGCAATGCCAAACTTGGCTCGAGCAAGACCAGGTGAGCAGACACACAAAGCGACGTGTCAATTATATTATTGTAGAACGTGACCTCTATGTGCGTGTTTCTAATCTGGCGAATGATGTTGCTTAAATGGACTTGGATGTGAGTTTATTTAAGATTAATCTTATTATGATTTCTCTAAGTATTATGATTAATTTTGTGTCGTTACATGTATATACACTTTTTTTAACCTGTCTATTGTCTATAAAGATGCAGTTTCCGTAGCCTCGAGTTAACTAGCTAACATATCTAGTTTGCTCAAAAGTTAAACATGAACAAGATGATACACTTTTTATAGACTGGCTCAACACTTATTTTGCTTTGCTACACTGGTTATAATACATGAATTAGTAAGTCCGCAAGATTTACATATGCACATTTCAATTGCATATACATCAACACACATAGTTTTAAACTACATTTTCGAACAGGTTTGAGGGGCTCTGTCTGCTCTCATTGCTGGTTAAAGACAGCTCCAGCGAAGTGTTCCAGCAGCACTGTCTCTCCTGGCTGCGCTCTCTTCAACAGGTTATCCAGGTAACTTCAAACTATACAACAAATCTTGCTTTTGACTGTCTTCAAAAACACACCACCACAAAACTTGATTTTTGTTGTGCTCTGTCTGCAGTCTCAAGCTCCAGTCCAGACCATTCAGCTCGCCGTGATTATATTAAAAGATGTGTTGCAGTATTCATCACAGATTGCAGAGTTATCCAGGGAAGTGGGTCTCAACTCTATCCTGGGAATTCTTACTTCACTTCTGGGACTTAAAGCAGAGGTACGCAGAGAAGTGGTATTCTGTTGTGGAATAAAGGGAATCTTTGTTGATTTCTGAAACGTGCCCATCGTGTCTGTCTGCAGTGTGATTTGGCTGCGATGGAAGGGATGACCGCTTGTATGAGTTATTATCCACGAGCTTGTGGTTCAATGCGGGTATGTGAACCATTTATGATCAGTTATACATTATAATTATACACACAACTTGACTGTGTTTTTTAGGATAAACTTGGGGCTTATTTCCTTTCCAAAATGGATAGCACTAACAAGAAGACTCAAGAGGTTTGTCACAGTTGTGCTTCTGTTATTTCTGTACGTATTTGTGCCGACACTGATCTGGTTTCTCTGCTCTTTTGTGGTTTTTAAGATGGCCTGTCAATGTTATGGTCGCTTACCGTGCCTGGGGGGTCTGCTGGATCGGGGGGTGGGGGCAGGCAGAGCAGAGGGCTGGACCACTCAGATTCACTGCCTTCTAGCTTCTGCTAATGTCCTGCTGGATCAGATCTACCATGGATCAGAATCGGGTGTGTCTCCGGGCAATCTTTACATTTTATTACAAATCCTGCTCTTTGGTGACCTATTCTATGTTTTGTTTTGTCCTGTAGAAGGAATCGCTCAATACGAAGGTCCAGGAGTGGAGTTGGGATTTCCTCACCTCGACCAATCAGACCCTCTCCTGGTGCTGCAGCTACAACATAGATATTCTGCCGTTTGTTTGGCGCTGAAAAACACACTCAGGTGATCAATTCGATTTGAAACTTTATTTACAAAACTATAGTCATCCACATATTCTAATTTCTAAAGTTTGTAGGTAAACATAGTTTTCAAATGTTGATTCCAACATAACATATATAATCTCTGCCCTTTTGATTGTAGTGTTTATTTAAACTAAATCTTGTTTTCCCCTCAGGGTGGATCCAGCTTCAGCGGTCCGGCTTCCTGTGAGGCCGATTCTCAACCTTGTGTGCCGAGCCCTCGCTGTCAGCCCAAAAAGCATTGTAAGAAGACACTATGAGAAAACCCTTATTGGTCAGGATGCAGTGAATCCAGTTTATGTGATGATGTCCTAGAACAAAATGATGAATGCTCTTGCTCTTAAAAAAGTATATTTATATTTCTGTGCGGCAGAATTTAACTGGGGATGGAAGTGTGAGGTTACTGGTCTTGCCCATGTTACACACCAACACACTGGAGGTCCTGTCTGCACTCGTCACTGCGTAAGTGCTGTGGTCTTATACTTCTATATCTGCTGTATGAATAACATTAGCTCTAGAGCTATAGCCTGGAACAATCTCCCTTTGAGATTAATGTTTGTTGTTACTTTAGATAAATAAACTAAACTCAAAATGTTTGTACATATTTAACATGTGTGTGACATATTATAATAGATATTTCTCTTCTCCAGAACACGGTTAGGAATGGTGCAGTACGCTGTAGTTCTGCAGAGGCTGTTCTCTCAGACTCTGTCAGCATGGACACCAGTTGCAGAGGCCAGTGTGGGCCAGCAGAGGGCATATTGGTAAGTCATTCTGTTTATTATGTTTTAAATGAATGCACTGTTATATCACATTTGGGTTGACTAAAGTATTAAAAATCAGATCTTTATCTATGATAAAATTAGAATTGGTATTGAAACTTAGTACTATATTTTTAATCGTTGCTTTAAACAACTTTCTATTTTTGTTATTTTGATCTCAGAACTACTATAAAAGTTGATACCTGTATTATATGGATGAATTGTTATTATTTTCATCATAATAAACAATAATACAATGGCTCAGTGTCAAAAAATAGATTTTCACTGTGGTGTTTAAATTGATCCATTTCTTAGTATCGGAATCGAGTTTGTTATTTTAGTATCGTTACAACAATACATTATATTCTCGGTCACCTCTATGTTAACTCTATGTTAGCACAGCTATCATCAAATTCTAATAATGTTATACAACGTGCTAATGATTCGCAACACTAAAATATGAATGACTGGTTGTGTTTGTCCTGGTGGCTCCTCAGTTCTGTGAGAGTTGCTGTGTACAAGGCCTTAGAGCTGTGGCTGCAGGTGGCTGGAGCTTCTGCAAACATCCTCCAGGGCAGCTCTGTTCACTCCGAACACCTGTTCACCCATCTGCTGGGGGAGATCACACCTGGAGCCGAGTCCATTAAGGTTATCTCTCTTTTAAACACTTTCTGACAAACACATGCATCACTTTTATTTATTTATTTATTTATTAGTTTATTTGACAGGGACAATGTACATTAATGAACATTACTGTAAATGTACCAGAATTAGCCACAAGGCTATTTTCCATCCGTTGTCCCTGGACAGATTTAAAATGTCAACCTAAAAGCAAACACAACACTTGTATACAAAACAACAATGATAAAAACAGTGTACATTTACCATATATACAATTAGTTAAAAGTTAGTGTTGACAGGACTGTTTTGTAATGAACCATGATTTGAGATGAGTTTTGAACAGATTGTATGAGGCCAGTTCTCTGATGTTTGATGGGACTGTGTTCCACTCCTGAGACGCCCTCAGACTTGACTTAAGAGTCAAATAATCCTGAATGTTTTACTTGTATCTGCAGCTTCGAGCGGGACTGTCCTCTGATGTGGTCCAGGGTGGAAAACCCGGTCCTCGTAGAACCAAGACTCTGGTCATGTCAGACTCTGTGGCCCCCATGCTCCAGAGAAAGGGAGACCAGTTAGCCAATGTAGATACATGTGTTTCTGCGCTTAGAGGTGAGATCCACAACCTCTACACTTTGTACATAACACTTTATGATTTTACTTTAAATATATTGTTTTGATTTGCACAGTACTTAGAGAAATAGTCCTTAGCAGTGGTACCCTACTGAAAGACGACATTCACAAGGTACTTCTTTCACTCCTCTCAAATACGTCACAACTATTGTTTTATAGTTATTACATATAATTTGTTTGTTTTTCTTTTAGCGCCTCCATGATGTGGTGTTGCCCTTGTGTGTGCGGCTTCAACAGCAACAAAACAGCAGTACCTCATGTGAATCAGCAGGGGGCGTCAGTGGCCAGTACAACAGCGCACTAAGCAGACAGGAACTCTATAGGTTTGTACCCCCCCCCCCCCACACGCGCACACACAAATACTATGTCTGAAGCAACCTCAGCAGAAACGTGTGTGTTTTCTTGCAGACTTCTGCTGGCTCTGGTCCTGGTCCCTTCCCCATGTTGGCCTTCCCCTTTAACATGCGCAGTGTCCATCCTGAGCAGAGGCCGCACGGACAGAAATACCAAGGTTTCCAAAACAAAACATCACACTGTAATATTCACCGTCAGCATAATCAAACACACTTTTTATATATAGCACTTTTCCTACGAATAATGTCACTCATAAGCGCATGTTTGTTCACAATCCTACATTGACCCATTAAACAGAAACTCAATGGTTCTCTGGAACTCTGACTCACTTCAAAATTTCTACTCACTGCTCTAAACCCACCCGTTCAAATCTGTCCAGACTTAACTTTTAGCTTTTATATATTTATTTTTTTCTCTTTAAAGGTTAATAATAGGGCTGAAACAACTAATCGATTAATCGACGACTAATCGATTATTGAAATAGTCGACAACTATTTTAGTAATCGATTAATCGTTTTCTGGTTCACACAGACTCAAACAGAGCAAAAATGACATGAAAATGTAGTATTTTTGATTAAAACCGACTTTGTTTTTATAATTTCATGAATGTCTGTCTCATCCAATCAGATAGCAGAATTTGCACAAAGAGCCTGTTACAAACATTTACTTTAAGTTTACGCCATCAATACGTCCTCGAGTGTTGCCACTTTAGCTTTTTGTGATGAAAAAAATCAATTTTTTCTACACAATTCACAGCCAAGCGATTACTCGATTAATCGTAAAAATAATCGATAGATTAATCGATTGCAAAATAATCGTTAGTTGCAGCTCTAGTTAATAATAAGAAAAAAATGTCCCTTTTGTCAAGTGTCTTTAAGTTGAGTTATATTGTATTTGGCCCATCCTTCAATTCCACATAGACTTCTGTTCTGAGCAGTGGTCCTTTTAAGTGTCCAAAAAATGCTTTAGACCCACATATTATAAAACCTCTTTAGCTGTCTAAACACATTGGCATTGCTCATTTGAATTGTAGGAAATGTTGTTTACTCCTCCGGATGAATTGCACTATTATGCACTGGAGTATGCAAACTATATGAATGCAAATGAAAACTGCTTCCCTTTATGTGAAACAAGACAAGCTCATACAACTGCTCTTTATATTATGTAAAAAACCTAATGGAAAAGGGGTTTGTGCTAAAATGAACTTTGAGTCTGTAAATGGGGAACTTGCTAAATTGACTTGATGTAAACTCTTGTTAGAAGCAATGAAGAAATGAGAAACAGACTATTTTTAGTTTCTTTTGGCAGGGGGCATTTTATAGGAGACTTTTACCACGGTTCAACATTGTTCTCAACAAAAACAGATTTGGAGTTGATTTTAGATCCATCGATGCTAATATCAGGAAGTTCAGGCACAAACATGTTACTTTGCCTCGTCTAATCTTAAAGCTCCTGTCGCAGTCCTGTATAATGTCATTGTACCACTTGACATCACGCTCAGAGCAACAATGGCTCTGGTGAAATTTTGTTCTTAGCAATTACGTGGCAGTGATTGCCGTCACTAATTTTCAAATTTGGAAACTACAACAAAAGCAATTCTAGGCCCATCGTATTTTTTACCTTTCATGCCTGTTTTGTCATACATTTTCCACTGAAGAGTCCATGTTTTACATTCTAAAACGTGACATGACAAAATCAATGTTGTAATTTGCAATTTTTGAAAATAGAATTAATTTAAGAGATCCTTTATTTGAGCCACAGTGGGGAAATGTCAGTGTTTCATCACCAGTTACAGAACAGTCAGAATGAGTAGCACACAACACTAAGATGAATAAAAATATATAAGATAAAATCTCTAACTTTAGCATAATAATGAAGCACAGAATGAAGTATAAATTAAGACTTTACCCAAAGGTTTTCTTGCATTTATTAAATCATTTTTACAAAGCTGAGTTAAGCCTTCTCTTATTTCCAGGTGTCTTCATTCTGCACTGAGGCGTTGACCATCTGTAACCTCCTGCTCCACCCTCGCACACCTTCCATTGCGCTGCCGTTGCCCCCCCTGACCCTCAAACCCACCCCATCAGCCGCCTCGGGACCAGGCCTCACACTGCCCAATCTACTCGTCGGCGCTAACGGGGCCCCTTCCTTCCCGTCACGCCACTCTATGGGCCTGGGCCACGGCTCTCTGCTGGGCTCCCTGGAGAACCAACTGTCCCTGGGACCGGGGCTGCCAGGACAGGGCCCCTCCGACATGATGCACGGCCCTCACCCCGGCTCGGCTCCGGTGGGCCCTCCGGACGGACAGCGGGCCGTCTTCGTGCGCTACGACAAAGAAGAAGCCGAGGACGTGGAGATCTCGTTGGCCAGCGACTCGGACGACAGCGTGGTGATCGTCCCGCCGGGGATGCTGGACATGAGCAGCCAGCAGGATGAGAGTTTATCCACTCCAGGCCCTGCCGCGGGCCCCTCACCCGGCGGGGATGTGCTCTCCCTGACACCCATCACACCAGCGCCCACCTCTATAGAAGCGTTGTCTCTGGCGAATGACTTGACCACCTCCTCCCCTCACCTGAGCTCGTCTAACTCTGCTTCTGTGAACTCGTTCCCGCCGTCGAGTGTCTCTGTCGTGTCGCTGGTTCCTCCCATGGGCCCCAGCGTTCTCCCAGGCCCCGGCTCCCTCACGGAGCCACTGTCAGGACGACCCCAGCTCCAGCAAATGCTAATGCAGCCCAACACGGCGTCACCCATGGGTAAGGATGTCACGATTATGCAATTACATTTATTATTGTTATTATCATTAGTGTTCCCTTGTCTGACATGTTACAATTACTCTTCCAGCTCACAAGTGCTGATTTGAAAATCAATATCTCAAATTAAATTTGGATCAGGAACAAACTTACAGAAAATAAATCTGAGCAATTTCATTCTATAGAGAGTTGAATGCTGCTCGAAATAATACTGAAAGAACTAGATTAACTAGATTCATAAATTACAGTGACTTTTAAGCGCACCGGTCCCTATATAGGCCACATTTGAATATAAGTTCATGTTGTTACGTAACACAAAGCATCAGCTGATGGAGCAAAACAAAGCTGATGAACAAGTTTTATCTGGACACAGCAGAATTAATGACAAAGTATTATAACGCATGGTTGAGTTGTAATGATCAAAGCACTCTGGTAAATCCAAGCTTTGTTTACAATAAATATCGTAAATATCCCCGTCTTTACTGAATTTAAAGTCTGCTCTGACTATAGCCCCAATCACATTAGTGTTTTTCACTGCACTTCACTGTGTCTGCTCTCTGCTGTTCACATAAACCTACCAGGAAGTAGGAATGTGTGCTATGGCATCAGCTGATAGAGCCTTGGGGGGAGCTCAAAGTTAATAAAAAATGCATAGATTGGCAACATCACTATATAGACCGCAGGGTTTAAATAATTATGAGTAGCAGGTTATATTCTGGCAATGACGGTACCATTTCTTCAGTTCCTGGGTATAAAGTGTGACCTGAACAAGTAGGTAAGTAAGTAAAGTTTATTCATAGAGCGCCTTTCACAGACCAGGATCACAAAGTGCTTCACAACTATGATAACATACATGACACACAAAGGAAAAGTTCATAATCACGGTTATGTCTTTAACCGAACAATCTTTCTTTCCCTTTGGACAGGACTTCTGCATCAGCTCCAGAACCAGCTGGGGCAGCCCGCAAGGAACCTGCAGCACCCGCCGCACCCCGCGTCCTCCGCCAACAACGAGGACTCTGCTGTCATCAACATCAACAGCACCGACGATGAGGAAGAGGAGGAGGAAGAGGAAGACATGGACGACATGGAGGAGGAGGACGAGGAGGGCCTGGAGGAGGAGGACGAGGAGGGCAGCGAGTACGCGGGGGAAGAGTTCTACGACGGCGAGGAATACGACGAGTACGATGACGAGGAGCCCGAGGAGCTGGAGGAGGAGGAGGAAGAGGACGAGGAGGAGGAGGGGGACATCCCGCCGCTGGAGGGGCCCGAGGACAAGGCCAACGAGAGTGGCGCCGAGGAGGCCCAAGCGGTGCGCGCTCTGGCCGAGGAGGAGGGGCCCATAGAGGAGCCCTTCAGCGTGGAGGCAGAAGGCGGCATCGAGGAGGTGCACACGCGGGTACGGCTGGCACTCGCATTTATTTGTATAGCACGTTCACAACAACACTAGCTGCTCAAAGTGCTGTACAGACGCAAAAGAAACAAAAACGGCAGAAAAAACACACAAATGAATGTAAAATATGATTAAGTAAAACAAAGGTTACGTTTGGAACCACGGTTCTATGAATCCCGGATATGTGCTATGCACCGCCCTCTGGCGGTCAGGAGGGATGAAATAGAGTCATTGTGGGTTAAAGCTGAGCTACTTAACTTTCAAGCTGCCATATATTAACTACATAATTACATTGATCTAAGTGGCTGCTCTCAAAACATCATGGTTCTATTTCTAGTTTTCTCTTTTCGATTTGCAGCGCTCAGCCAAAAGCATAAAATAGGGGTCTTTTTTACTTGAAAGTTGACATAACATAAAAGCTACATAAACGTTGTGGTCTAAATGTTCACAAAATGTTACTTTTACACAAAGTCGACCTAAATCTTCTATGGTTAATATAAGGGAGAGTAAATCTGGTGTCTGGATTGGATCTATTTCATTGTAGAATGACCACATTTTGGGTTTTAACAATTTCCACAGTTGAGGTAAATGTCTCTGGAAATAAGATTTAGGGACCTGTAATAAAACAAATCTCCAGCTGGAACCCATATGGAATATCTGTTAACTTTTTTGGAATGTTTTTTATTTTTTATTATTAATTATTATTTGTTGAGTGTGGAGTTCATCCAGGACATTTGACTCTATAGAGGGACTTTATTTTAATCATTCGCATTTCCAAGAGAGACTATTATTATGTTTTTAGTCAGCCTTTTAATCACAAATATCCACCAGAGTAGAATCCAGTACAGACCAGTTTAGTGTTTAACATGTTGAATGCCTGACGTCTTTAGACACGAGCCTACCCAGAGCTGAAGGTGCAGGAGGTGGAGAGCATCGGCGTGCTGGAGGAGGCGCGGGAGAGCGAGGGGGAGTCCACCATGGACCCCACCATGCCCCAGATCCTCTGTGTGACGGGCGGAGCCATGGAGGAGGAGGAGACCACGGAGGGAGGGGAGACATCCCAGGAGGAGGCTGTGGGATGGGAGCAAGGAGACGACAACAAGGTGGAGATCGAGGACTCCTCCGACGAGCAGGCGCCCACTGACAATCAGCAGGTACAAGAGGGAAAAGGTTTATATTTTCATGGTCGTAATGAGAAAATCACGAAAACTGAGTTTGTTTTAAGTTCTTCGCATACAGGAAATCACTCAAATTTGGGGAAATGCCTTGTGTTTAAAGATGTGTCAATGAAACAAGTATCTTTTGTCTGTTGTCGGGCAGAAACGTTATTTTCTCATTCCTGTGAAACATCTGATCTTTTATCAGTTTATAAAAGCTGAAACTTTCAATGTGTTGCACGCCAGGCCATAAGAATTAGCCCATGATAGATAACACATGTTTTTATAGAGTTAATATTTTTGCAATGAATATTTAATTTCAGTTTGTAAAAATGGTTGTACTATAGCTCAAAATTGTCCAGCACTAATTTTAAGATTACTGGTCTCAAATCCTACATTAGATTTGAACTTAACATGTCAAAGTCTAGACCAATATGCAGTTCTCTGTGGCCGATGGTAATACAAATATTTTTCAGTTGAGTTATATCTCTAAATGAGTCGTGATGGAAAAAGGCTTAATATTGTTTTACTTTTTACATTATCGCAACTTTAACCTAAAAAATGTCTGTTGTGGAAAAAGCTGATTGCCACTAAATCCACACCAGACGTAGCCTGACTCTCGCCAGACCCATGTAGTTCGCTGCACTTCACACATGAGTCTGGTACTGAGCCATAGTGGTTGGATTTCAGAAGGCAGGGCCTTGTAAAAAAAATCCTTGTATGTGATTGGATAGACCACTTGTCCGTTATCTTGAATGAAGTCTGCTTTCAACCACCCACATCGAAGCACACGGCTCCCATAGGTTGCCAAATCCCAGCAATATTTTCCAACCCAAAATCCGCGAGAAAACCCACACACAAAAAAACACTCAGAATGATTTTTTGGCTAAAAACGTAATGTAATCAACTTGGGCTATCATGATTGTGTTTATTGTCTTTCTGTGTATTTAATACCTACAAGTCTCTTGGAAAAAAATATGTGGGAACCATCAAACCTGGCAACCCTGCTGCATAGTGTGTAAACGGGAACACTGAACCAAACTTCAACCAAACTTTACAGGAACATTTGACTCTTAAACCACACATATATCAACATAGAGCCATCTACATCTCGCCTCAAATTGCATTAAAAGTGACATCCGTGTCTTAATTCAATCGTATTTACTCTTTTAAAAAGATTCGCTTACTTTACGTCCACCATCTTGGATTCCTCTCGCTGCTGCATGAGAGAAGCTTGAGAAGGCAGTGCAGAACCCACGTAACACCGGCAATCCTGATTGGTCGATTAAAAAATAATCTGGGGAAGGCGTTCGCTATGGGCTCGATACCAGACCCATGTGGTTCAGCCAAACGCCTCTGGTGGGGCATGGCGGAACTATAAGGGTCTGGCAGAGCCAGGCTGCACCAGACGCTGCTTTTACAACATATCTGTAGTACAGAAGATTTGACTGTCGTTTCAAATGGGTTTTGATAATATGAGTTGTGTGTGTTGCAGGAGGAGCAGCTGTGTGAAACCTCGCAGGAGGCCGGCGCCAGTGGAAGCGTTGTTAGTGCTCATGCAGAGGAGCTGGAGGGTTCTCAAACTGAACAAACGAGCGCTGGGTCTGAACTTGTCGCCACTGAGCAGGAAGAGGCAGCTGCTGAGGAGCTGGAGCCTGAGGTGGAGCAGGACAGAGAGCAGGAGCAGGAGCAAGAGAATGAGGATGAGGAGGGGAAAGGTGTGAAGAGGAAGAGAGAGGAGGATCCAGCACAAAGCACAGAGAAGAAGAGGGTACATGCATGTCAATATGTTATCTGCTGTTAGAAGAATATACTCTCATGTCTCTGTCTCTCTCCACAGTGTGAGGAAGACATGGCCTCCATGTTGGCAGACTTTGTGGCCTGTCCCCCTGATGAAGAGGAGGGCCCCTCTGCATCAGCGCAGCCCAAGTCCAGCTCTTAGTTTTCACTTTTTATACAGATTTGGTTACCTCATCCCATCATAAGACATACTTTATTGATCTCATGTATCTGTTTTTGTTCATGTACAGAACCATTTATGGGGATTTTATATCTAGTGCCAATAATTGCATCATGAGGAAGTAGAAGACATCATGGAGTACTTTGAAGTGTTTCAGTACGTTTCAGTCCACGCTTCATCTGTTTAATATGGACTCTGTGAACCTTCGACACCGCTCTCTCTGCTTTATGTGTACATCATGTTTTGTCTTTAATGTCATAAATAACTACTTCTGAAAGTGTTTTCTTTGTCCTTTTCATTTTTCAATCTAGAAAAACATTCCTCTGCCTGAAAGAAAAAGGAGTGAAACTTGATGTTTTCCTCCTGTATTTTGTGCAAAATAATGCAGCGTCACCTTCAAACATAAGTCTGTCATTAAAAAGTCAACGTTATTGCACAATCCTGATCGGTGCACAGTTGGTGCGCTGCTTTTTATCCAAGACGATGGTTCTCCTTCACATTTGTGATAAATGTCACAATTGTGACTTCAGATGCCTCCATATGTGAGTTTGTTATAATAATAATAATACATCGTACTAATGGGACTTTTTGTCCTACAAGTAAATTTTTTTTTTTAAGTAAACATATAATAGGTTTACAACAGGTTCATTCTGATTGTCTTAAGATTTTCTAACCAGACAAAGCCATTTAGTCTTGTTTCAAGAATTGCTTTATTTTCTCATTCCAAGGGAGATATTTCTTTTATCTTTTTAAAACAGGGTCATTTTACTTGTCCCATTGGCAAATCTGGTTTTAAGGCAGTCAAAATGTGCTGAAATGTAGAAACATTTTGCTAAATTTGAACTTTCTTTGTTTTACTTTTTTCAGTGCATATTTTTTATAGTGTTCTTACAAGGTCATAACTACAAACAAAGGCAGTTCCCTTCCTTTTTTCTGTTAGTAAGTTATACAAGTGATTCATTTTTATCAGAATTCATATTTCTGTGCTCTGGTCACATAAATGCAGCTGAGTCAACACTGGAGACCTCTGAGAATCCATCCCCTGGCTCCGCCCACACATGTGAGAGTCCACTCTGTTTCCTTTTTGTACATTTTTCCCAACGCATGCATGATGGTGTTTGTAATGTTTTCTCCTTTTAAGCTCTTCAATCCAGAAGTAAAGACTTATTTGAACACATTTCTGTAAGAAGAGTCATAAAAGTAGTTTGGTCCATGCTACTTTGCTATTCCACACCCAAATCTGCTATTGTACCCTGTTCTTTATCATGTCCCTGATCTTGTCTCCTATTCTTGTCTTTGCAAAGCCATCTCACATTCCTCCTGCTGCATTTGCACACTTCCCCTGCAGCAGTTTGGCCTGTGTCCTCATCGCTCACTTTTAGCAGCCTGCCCAGAATGTCCCCACTCAGCGACGTAAACAAGAGTGTGGGTGGGGGGGGGCTGTGTGTGTGTGTGTGTATGTTTCAGGTGGAGGGTAGGGCTTGATACTTTTTTACTGAACTGGACAGAACAGCAAGAGCTAAAGCCAGAGCTGCACAGAACTTTTCTACAAACTCGGACAAAGGGGTTGGATGTAAAATGAGTGAGGTATGTAGACTTTCTCTCCTTACAATCTAGTTGCCCGTTTATTACATGTACCAGGGACTACAGGTGAAAATTATCATCTTGATGTAAATGTTGAATTGTTCACTGTCCCTGCTCAAATATAGTACATACCATACCATACCATACCATACCATGTTAAAGGTGCATTGTGCAACTTTTCTGCTGTGGTCTGAACCCGCTTGTTGCCATGGAAATGTTATTGTTTTGGTCCATGCCTCAGTATGATATAAAAATGTACATGTATGTGCTTTTACTGTTTAAAACCTGAATTCGCATTGGGTTTGCTCACTTCTTTTGTAGATTTTACCGGAATTATATGATGTCAACAATTCCAGGAAATTCCAATTCTGATAACAATCTTTTTATCACTCCAAGCCATGCTCCAAGCAGATACCTGTAATTCAATCACATCCTTTTTGGCAGCTCCTCTGGGGATCAGGAATCATCCTTTTACATTGGACTCATCATTTACTGTTGATGATGTGATGATGTGTTGGTGTCGTCCATGATTTGGCAACACAAAGTCACTGTTACAGCTCAGTTCCCATAATACAGATAATTACAATATAGTATTTGCATCATACTGTAATTAAAGGATGTGACAGTAACCATATGCAAGTTGCTACTAGTCTGACTATGACTTGTAAAGAAAATAATAATTATGTATTTAGAATTAAGGATGTGTTGTATAGATTGTAGCCTTGGGCCAATTTCCATTGCTTATCACACACTCGCACTCGCAAACACAAACTCATTCACCGTGAACTATTGCACATGTTTTTAGTGGTAGGCGGAAACCGGAGCACCCCGAGGAAACCAATACAGACGCTGGGAGAACATGCAAACTCCAGGACCTGTCTAGAGTTGGAGTCAAACCTTAACCGCTTCACTCTATGTTTATAGACAATGTTTTAAACTCGTGTATATGTCTTTTTTCGTCAATTTTTTAGGACATCGCAATATTTCTTCAAATGGTTTTGTTGTTGTTCAGTCCAATACAATCTGAAGTGTGTGTGTGTGTGTGTGTGACCTGTGTCCTGTTGTGTTCCAGTCGGAGACCTACACTGTGACTGTGGCCACGGGGACATCGGAATATTCAGGCACCAACAACTACATCTATGTGACTCTTGTGGGGGAGCAGGGCGAGAGTGAGCGCACCCTGCTGGACAACCCCGGCCTGGACTTCTGCAGAGGCGCCGTAAGTGTGGCCTTTTTGTCCGGTTGTGTAATGCAATACAACACATACAAGGCTACTGTGTCTACGCAAGCAGACACACAGGTGGCCTCCTTTTCCTTTTTTTCTTCACTCTGAAATATGTGGTAACCAACCGTCCGTGGTGGAAATGGAAGATGGTCCTTTGAAAAGTTGACTCCACACGCCCATTTTGAGAATTCAGGCTACTGCAACTCCCTCTACAGACAGACACACACTGAGACCACATCACTCCTACTCTTCGTCCTCTGCACTGGCTCCCTGTAGATTTGTAGATTTCATTTGTGTTATTGTTTTTAAAAGTCTTTGTATGTAAAAACGGCGCCTGTGTGTGTGTGTGTGTGTGTGTGTGTGTGTGTGTGTGTGTGTGTGTGTGTGTGTGTGCACTTGTTTTCAACTCCTGGTGGGTTCCATAACCTGAGATTCCACTCACGTCATGGGGACTGGTTTTACGTGGTGGGGCCCGAACACCGGACCCCACTGGTCCAAGCTTAATAATCAATGGGTAATGCTTTTCTAACGGTCCTTATGCAGTCTCTGTAAAAATATGGAAAGGACCCCTGGAGGTTTACTTTCCTGAAAAAAGTGTGTTATGTGTCGGAACCCTGGTGGTGGGTTGCGGGATATCAAGGAGGGGCACACTGGGGCAATTTCAGTCCAGCAGGCTGGAGCCAATCATGGAGCAGCACAACAGAGGAAATCAGGTGTCAGGCTAGAAAAAGGTGCAAGTGTGTGGTTCATTAGGCTGCAAGAAATCATGGAGGAGCACACTGAAGCGCACGCTTACAAACCACTGGTAAGTGCTGACTACAAGTCATGACTTCAAATTGTTATATAGAATGATTACAAATTATTTGTTGTTTGTGCAGCTTAGTCAAGAGTCCCTAATTGATGAAGTCGACTCAGATTCTGACGATTTAACTGTCAAGAAGAAACCTGTAAAAAAGTATGGAAAAAGAAAAATCAAAAACACTTTTCTTCAAGACTCGGAAAGTGACGAACCAAAGGCAAATAAGATTGTTATCATGCAGCTGCAAAAGAAGAAAAATGGGGGGCGAGTATACAGCAAGAGACACTTCTGCCTCTACTGTTCAATGTCCTGCCACAAAATGTCCCGTCATTTGACTAGAAAACATGGAAATGAAAGTGACGTAGCCAGAGCATTGGCTCTACCTGTGAAATCTAAAGCACGTAAACTTCAGTTTGATTTGATCAGGAATAGTGGAAACCGTGAGCACAATTTTGAGGTTTTAAAGGCCGGCATTGGAACTTTAGTCCCAGCTAAACAGCCAAATTCCCCAGTTAAATCCAGTGAGTTTTTGCACTGTATAGACTGTGGGGCATTGCTTAAGCGAAAGTCGCTGTGGAGGCATGTGGCCAGGTGCCGGCTTTCACAGAAAGATGCCCAGGCTAAACCAGGTAGAAGTAGGGTCCAGTCCCTCTGCTCCCTAGCCCAGCCTGTACCGGAGGGCATCAGCAAAAAGCTGTGGTCTTTAATTTCGGCAATGCATCAGGATGAGGTCACGGGTGTTGTCAAAGCAGAAAAGGGGATTCTGAGACTCGGAGAGCACCTGTACTTAAAACACGGGCATGATAAGACAAAGCATGATTACATTAGGCAGAAAATGAGAGAAGTCGGTAGGTTAATTAACGAAGCAAAAACCGCAGGGAAACTGAAAACAATTAAGGATTTCTTTATTCCTTCCAACTTTAACCATGTGATTGATGCAGTCAGGTCTGTGGCTGGATATGATGAGGAAACAAATCAATACAAGACTCCATCCTTGGCCCTCAAACTCGGCCATAGCCTCAGAAAGCTAGCAGATATTCTTGAATGTGACTCAAAAATGGAGCATTGTGTTGATGAACTATTTATTAAAAACCTCCAACGAAGCCGGCTGCTTTTTGAGAAGAGGTGGGACGTCTGTGTTTCTTCTGCTGCCCTACAGACCCTCCGGCAAGCCAAGTGGAACACTCCGGACCTGCTCCCTCTGACTGAGGACGTTAGAGCCATGCATGCACATATTGAGGTATGTCGACCTGAATATGTGCAAACCCTAATAAGTGAGCCAACGTCTAAGCATTGGTCTAAACTGGCAGTTTTGACTCTTTGTGAGGTCATCATTTTCAATCGAAGAAGGGAAGGTGAGGTTTCAAAGATGCCACTGACAGCCTTTACCTTAAGAAGTAAGACTGGGATCCATTCTGACATTGCTCTGGGACTGTCCCAACTTGAGAAAAAGCTGTGTCAGCATTTTCAACGCATTGAAATTAAAGGGAAAAGAAGTCGGAAAGTGCCGGTTCTTTTGACTCCTGAAATGATTGCTTCGATGGAGGTGCTGGTGGAGAACAGAAGGGCCTGTTCCATCTCTGACCATAACCCATACTTCTTTTCCCGCCCGGGCGCAGACACCCACATCAGGGGATCAGACTCCCTACGCCAGGTAGCCAAAGAATGTGGTGCGGTGCATCCAGAGATGCTATCCTCAACCAAACTTAGAAAGCACATAGCTACTATGTCTACAGTTCTCAATATGAAAGAGAATGAGATGGACATACTTGCCAACTTCCTCGGCCATGACATTCGCATCCACAGGCAATATTACAGACTACCAGAGGGGACACTGGAGCTGGCCAAAATCAGCAAAGTGTTGATGGCCATGGAGCAGGGAAGAGTGACGGAATTCGAAGGAAAGAGCCTCGACCAGATACAAATTGAGCCTGAAGGTAATTCTTGATATTATTAAAATATGTATGATTTTTTTCCCCTAAAGGCCACTTGTATTTTTATTTTCTGTGCGACAGGGAGAGCAGTAGAGATCCTCTCACAAACGGACGGGCTAAAAGAAACTTCAAGCGGAGAACCTTCAACCATTCATCCAGATGCACCCCATGGTAGTGGCAGTGCCCCTTCTGGTAAGTGTACCAGGTGGGGGATTACAGCCAGGCTGCTTGGTCCTCACCCTGGGAGTGTATATTGCTAATATATTTTTATTTCTCTCCCTAGAACGTTAGAGAAAGCCATGGTCTGCATCTGAGGTGAAGGCTGTGGAGAAGACCATGACACCTTTCATACAGACTGGAAAGGTCCCTGGGAAGTCTCACTGCCTGGCCTGCATTAATGCCTCACCAGATGACCTTAGACATCGGACATGGAGTGGCATTAAATTCTATGTCAAAAATAGAATCACTGCAATTCGAAAACAAAATCTAAAATAAAATTCCTTTAAAATAGTTGTTTGGTTTCTATTGACTGTTTTGTATTACTTAAAGTCTTGGTAAAAAAAGATTATGTCTATGGGTCCCATTCTGAACGGCCCTGTCAAAGGGACCCACCAGGTAACAAAAACGTGTATGTGTGTGTGTGTGTGTGTGTGTGTGTGTGTGGGCTATCTGATGCACACTGGGGTAGTAGCACAGTTTTTCCAATGTGGTTTTACTGCAAATGGCAAATACATTCAAATAGAATCTTGAATCTTGAAGAACGGCATCTTCTTCTGACCTCCTCCAACCCCACCTTGCTTCCAGTGTCTCTACAGCACTTTGGAAAGCCATGCCGCAAAAGTGCTTTACAAATACATATTGATTGACTGATTGATTGAACAATATCAATCAATCAACTTTATTTGTACAGTATGGCGCCTTTCCAACACAAGGCCACTCAAAGCGCCTCACAACCCACATAATATCACACAAATCAGAGACATCAATAAATACATTAAAAACAGAATAAAATCACAAGTAATGGGAAAAAAAAAAAAAACTTAAAATATTAAAAGCACACACGGGATTAAAATAATAAATAACCACAATGCATTAAAAAAAAAGAGTATGTATCAATAAAATCCTTCAGCCGTATGCACAGCTAAAAAGAACAGTTTTTAGCCCTGATTTAAAAATTGCCAGAGTAGATGCTAGCCTCACATCTTCAGGAAGATTGTTCCAGATTTTAGCTCCATAAATCTCAAACGCTGCCTCCCCATGTTTAGTTCTGACTCTTGGAACCAGTAAGAGGCTACCTCCTGTGCTCCTCAGAGTCCGGGCCGGTTCATATGGGACTAACAAGTCGCTTAAGTACTTTGGTGCGAGGCTCTTGAGCAAAGTGGTGAAAAAGTGTTACTGCACTTTTTTTTTCAAATAGAATAGGTACAGTTGAATTCACAAAACTTGAAAACCATAATTCAGAGTTTTCCATTCTAAGCATAACCTTCCCTAACACCAAAACTGGGGGAACAAGGAGAAATAACGTTTGTTGGCTTAGTCCACAGTTTGGATCATCTGAACTTCCGTCCTCAAACTGCATCATGAGCAGCAAAATCGCGCTTACCTCGCGATCTAGGAATGGTAGAGATGATGTAAGAGTGACTGAACTGTCATCAGAGCCACAACGACCATTTCCAATTTAATGGTAGCTTCACATAGACATTGAAGCCACACAGCCACAAAACACCCTTCAGAGGAGTAGGTCCCTGTTGAGCAGGAACCGTAAGTATGGTGAACATGTACTACCCGGAGCGGCTGAGAAGTTTTAAACTTGAATTACCTGAAAGAAGTAAACGATTAGACTCATTAAAACAAAAGGAAATGGGGATCCATCCCATCTGTATAGGAAATCTGGTGATGGGCATGGATAAGGGGTAGCATAACAAATTTTAGTACAAGGTCTGATATGTACCGGACCAAAAATCTGGACCTCTACATCATTAAACCAATAATTGTAGAGATCGATCAACAGCCGGTTTTGAGTGAGGGAACATTTTCCTGTGCCCTTGTTGACAGGCTCTTGAATCAACTGAGACAAATGAATTACAGAACCTTTTGGAAAATGTGTAAAAGCAATCAACTATTGTAGAGTGTGGATGTGTGGGTTTGATGACGCAATAGGCATATGAGTACAAATGTAACAAAATTGAGCGATGTTGGGACTCTGCCAAGAATTTTGCCATATTGATACCACAAATTAAGTGTGTATCACACCGTGGGGT